ACAGTAATTTATGTCTAATATCCCACACAACTTTCACTAGTTGAGCTCTTTTATGCAGGTGGGATGGTCATGGTAGGCTGCACATTTTGGGAGAAAGAGAAGGGCTAGATTTTGCTAGTCTTCTCTATCCACCCACCATATATATATATTTAAGTAATCAATTAATCATGATGTACAATTAAGCTAAAGGCTTATGTAAGTGAGAAGTGACGTTTACCAAACAAAATGTCAGATTTAAAGGAACTATATATACCTGTTTTGTGCTAAGGGTACTCTTACCTATGCCTTATTGTCTGATCTTTAATATCCTTTGATACTCTCATTTGCTTGCAAGGGACAAATAGTTTGGAATTGCAGGTACTCTTTTACAACAAAATTGTTCAAGCTAAGAGATTCGGGGGAGGGGGTCCCCATATTTTACATTACTTTCACATGAGAGAAGAGAAAGGGACGTGTTAAAATGAACAAGGGAAAAAGTACAGGAAAGAACCTTGCTTTACTATAGTGCATCTGCAAAATTGTGTAGTTGATTTTCCTGTAGAGTTTACATTCAGGTAAAAATAAGGCCAAAAAGGGGTTGGAAAAAGCTTGAAAGTAATAATTCAAGTCCCATCATGCTGTGCAATCATGCATTTCTGCATGAAATTCATAAAACTTTTTAAGGAATATGCATCATACCATTTTGCAGCAAGATAAAACCAACAGGTATTTTTGTTTGCTAACATTCAAGGGCCCTGAGTGTCAGTTTTATTTTCGTAAGAGAAAAAGAAAATGATAATATAATAAGCAGTAACTCAGGTCACATCAACTATAATGAACGTTCTGGTTGGTTCACAAAGAAAGAAAATGATAATATATATAATTAATCAGCAGTTACTTCTGGCCATATCCACACGCCAAAAAGAGAAAAAACACAATGTCCACTAATGAACAATAAATTTCAATCAAAGTTAATATCATTAAAGTGCTGTATCTGAATTAATAGAGAAACCTTCCTGCCACTCAGTGAAGGATTTACAATGAATCATATATCTTTATTAGGAGTAATATCTTCAAGAAATTAAAAAGCAAAAAGTCACCTTCCCTTGTATTCCGTAGAGAGACCAAACACTGTAAGTTTAATCTATTCACATCAATAATTTGGTTTTGAAAGATGTGTTGGAAGGTAAAACCACCGCAGAAGCATGTTTATATAAAAATGCACATAACCAAAAGTTCCCAACATGCGTTTTTTAAATGATTAAAGCACAGAAAATATGTGAATGATATTTTCAGGACCTAATCTCATCATGCCATGAACCTTAATTGTTGCTATAATATATAAGAAAGAGGGAGTAATACTCAATTAACAGTCTTTGATTGAGGTTAAAAAATTGCCAAGCTCAGCTTAAGAGATCTCGAATCCCCAACTCCTATCCCACGTTGATTTGGATGAGATTTGGTTGCTTGCTATTTAACTTTCCCAAAAGGAGAGCCATGCCAACCATGAACCAACTCTCACTAATATAATATTTATTAACTTAATATTATTTTTCTAAAGTTCTTAATATTTATTTAAACATGACAACAATCAACCGGGGCTCTACATAAAAGGGCAAAACATTGAATACAGGTGGCAACCCCCAGTTTGTTCAGTTCTTGGCTTTTCCAAAATACATAATAAGGAAAATTGTACTAAGGAATCAAATCCCTCATATAAGGCTGCTAGCTTTTATAATCTTTTCTCCCTTGGACTATATCCCTCTCCTTGTCTGTCCATAGTTTCTCATACCATGTACTCATTTCTATGATGAATACAAGATTCTCATCTCATATATTTAATGAAGGATAAAAAAAAGGCTTTCTACTAATTTGTACAATTAACAATTTCTCATGTTATTAAGTTCTGAGCTCAATATTAACAATTAATAATTTTTATATCATATCTATATATTTTTAAAAATATATAACTTATAATTTCATTTTAAACTAGAGTAATATCTTATACTTAAAAGGATGATAGTATTAAAAACGGACTCCTATTTTATTTGTGTGTCGTACCTTTTACCTGAGCAACGACCTATGCAAATCTAAGGGTGCTCTGCTCGGTATTGGGGTCTTACATTAGGAAGTGGTTTGGTAAGAGATTCCACAATTTTAAACTTTAGGTCTTTGTAAAACAGTTCCCAATGCGAACTAATAATGACATAACACTAAAAAAAAGATAAAAAAGAGAGGAAACGGATGTTAAAAAAAAGTTTTATAAGACTTATCTTGTAGTAAAAATGATTGTGTAATGTTATAGAGATTCGTTTTGCGTGTCGTAATTTTTTTTTTCTTTTTCTTCAAAAGGTGTGAGCCCCACAAAATATTGTGTGTAAGAAACTTTGTTGTGTCATGTTAAATGACAAATGCAAATTCTTAAAAAAAATGTGATAAGATCACGTTGGAAAATTATAATTATATAAAATAAATTAATAATGATGATTTTAATATATTTTTTTTATCACCATTAATCTATTTTTATATATTTATAATGTTTTATATAACCATATTATGTCTTTTTTATCTTGAGATGATCTATTCCAAAAAAAAAAAAACGTCCAAGTTTGTAAAAAATGGAGACATTTATTTAGAAGTGCTCCCTTGCAACTATTCCTCCCTGTTCTTATTATAGCTGTTCTACACTGTTCATGGATAATCTATGTGTTAGCTTCTAGTCCTAAAAAGTTTCTGCAAGTTAATGGATCTGGTGACTCTCTCAGTCAAAGTAATTAGAACCGATATCATGTAGGTTGTAAATTTACTGTTGTAATGTTACTGTGTTACTGTTTTACTTTTTAAAATTAATTTAATATTTTTACTTTACATGAGATAATATAAATTTGGTAATGTATTATAAATAATAAATAACTAATTTTTTAAATTATCTTCACAGAAAAAATGATTAATTTTATGATTTACTTAACATCATTTATTTTGGTGTGAAAAAATATGTTCGTTAATAATAAATTTATATACTGTAAAAATTTAAATATAATCAAGTATTAAATTATAAATATATAGTTTACGACTCGTGCAATAAAAGATCATACCAGTGCAATGATTAATCTAAAAAATCTCCTATCAAGCATTAATCTTTGAGCCTATACATGACATGTTAATGTGTCCAGCATCAGAAGTCCTCTGTTTATCGAGGTATTACCATATTAGGTATTAGAGAGTTTTGAAATAAAAATTATTCGATTTAATTTTTTTAGTTTGATAATAATCATCCGTTGGATTTGAATTTTTTTCAAATTCAATTTAATCTAAATTAATTTTATTTGGTTTGGATTGTATTGATTTTTGATTTTTTGAAAAATTTAAAATTTTAACCATATAAATTACTAGTTAAATCAAAATAAAATCATGTAAAATTATAAACTACTAACAAATTTAAGTCTTTAAATTAAAACAAGTTTTAAAACTCATAAAAAATTAAAGTAGAGTAATAGTCTACTCCAAATTCTAGAAAAAAAGTGGATTTTAATTTTTGATTAATTTAATTATTGATTTTTCGTTTCGATCACTCGGTTGATGAACATTCCTATTTTAAAAAATAATCACAAATATCAAATAAAAATTAAACTAGAAAGACAAAACGAAGATAAATGAATACTATTTACTTGCAACCTCTTTCAAATGAAGTTGAGTAGGCATGGGTCATTAATAATTTTCTCATTGACAAGAGAAGTACAAGAAGATATCAAATATTATATTTACAATTATTTATGTAAGACATTAATTCTTCAAAATAATGATTTTCTCTGTTTCCATAGGCACTACAAACAAACAAGAGAGTATGATGCAAAAGATGGCGAAGTTATTCATCGCAATGAGATGCCATAGACAATGTATCTTCTTTTCATGTTATTTCATTTCTTTCTCTCTCTTTCTCCCTAAGAACCTAGACAATGCATCTAACATCTAACGTTAATAACAAATCCACGGTGCAAGACCCATATGACTTGTTTTTTATTATTATTATTTGTTTAGAATTATAGTTTAATATAACGAGGGAAAAAAGAAATGAGTAGATGATCCCAGCTAGATTTCGGGGCCTTGACCAAAAACAACAAAACCCCTTATATTAAAGATCTAATGCACTTCTTTCAAGGTGTATTAAAGGACAATGCAATAAGATAAAAGAAAAACACCCCATGTAAGAGTTGGCAATGTCAGTTGCTAGCTCAAACTGTATGATTATCACTTAAAAGTGGTACATTTGGTGAGTTATAAAACTCAAGAAAAGAAGCAAAACAATGATTATTAATTTCTCAAAGTTGGGGAAGAGGAGCTTAAGGGGCAGGTCTTTATATTAGTATTTTACACTTAGCAGTGGCGGTGGTTAATCATCAAAAGCTCTCTTTTTTATGTAAGCGTGAGGTATATAAATGGAGGGTCTTTCCCCGTTACTCTTTTTCTTTGCACTCTCCTTCAAATACACAAATACACATCGGTTTGTTAGCTGTATTTTCCCCCTTTTAGCTTTTACCACCTTCCCTTTTTTATTTTCTCTCTAAAAATCCAAGCTTTAGATTTCTCCCTCTAAAAAGCTCCCAGCTTTAAATTCTCTCTCTCTCTCTCTCTCTCTAGGCACAGTGAACGGCAGGTTTGTTATCAAGAAGAGAGTTTGAAGAAAGCCCAAATTGAATAAAGTGTTTTGATTTGAGTGAAAAGCTTGAATGGAAGGGAGGGTGCCAAAAGTAGCACAGGATCAGAAATGGGTATCTTTCTCTTCCCACTTTTAAAGTTGGGTCCTTTTTTGTTTTTTATAATTTCCTTTTTATTTCTCTCTCTCTCTTCTCTCTTGCAGGGTTGGGTTCTGCAACTCTGACTAGGGCTTGAATGAGGGGTATTTAATTTGCTGAAATCAATGCTGTTTGCATAATTGACTGCTTCCATGGACTTCTTTTCAGCTATTTCTTTGAAGTCTTTTTTAGCCTTTCTCTCTCTCTAATCTTTGGGGGGCCTTCTTTATGAAATTTGGTACTTCCAAGTTCAGTGTTGGCTTTGGAAATGGTAGCTGCCAAACTCGTGTGAGCTTTGGTACATCTTTTGGGTACTTGGATTTTGTTTCGGCCCTTTGGCTATTTTTCCACATCATTAACTGAAACTGCTATCTCTCTCTTTATCTGTACTTCTGACCTCCTTCTCTTTTTAGCTTCACTTATTAGTTCAAACCTGGACAAGTTTCTAGTTCCTTCAGTTTTCAGGGGTGTCATGGATTCTGGTTAAAGCTTGTCATGGAGTCCTGTTTGTTCAATTTATGTTGGGAGTTGAGAGGTTTGGTTTGTTAGTTAATTTCTTTTAATTTTGACTCCATTTTTTTGTCAATCATTGTTTCATGCTGTACAAGCTACCATTTGGCCATTGTTGAAGGTGCTTTTTGCCAAATTTTCTCTGGTTTCGTTATCAATTATTCTAAAGTGGTCATAGAAAAGAATCTGGTAGTGGCTGCTTTGATATCTAAGGAGAGTTGGATATGAGTGACAAAGAGAAGTTTGAGCTAGATAGAAACGAGGATCCTATGAGTTATTCTACTGGTGTGCCCTCAGATTGGAGATTTGGGGGTGCCAACCTTGCAAATTCATCTGTGGGTTTGGTTGCCATGGGGAATTCTGTAAATGTCAGCAGAGGTGATCTGATTGGTTCTTCTTCAGGTTCCTCTGCTTCAATGGTGGACTCATTTGTTCCAAATTTCTGGGACCATCCCACCAATTCCCAAAACTTGGGATTTTGTGACATTAATGTCCACAACAATGGGGGCTCTTCAAACACAACTGGAATCAGAAAAGATGGCTTTGGCTTTGGAAGAGCTCGTCAGGATCATGGAACACTTGACATGGATTGGAACCTGGCTAATTCTATGTTTAAAGGGGATAGTTTCTTACCAAATGGACCAGGGATATTTCCTCAGAGTTCATCTCAGTTTCCAACTGATTCTGGATTTATTGAGCGGGCTGCAAGATTCTCATGCTTCAGTGGAGGGAATTTTGGTGACATGGTGAACTCATATGGGATTCCTCAATCCATGGGCCTTTATGCTGGGACTGGTGGAACAATGCATGGAATAAGAGATGCTCTTACAGGCCATGTAAAATCAGCAACTGGAGGACAATCTCAAGAAAGTGATCTGAATGTAGTTGAAGCTACAAAAGATGTGTCACCATGTGTTGAGCATCTAGCTACTGCAGGAAGCCCCCTCAAGAATGATAAAAGAAGTGAAAGTCATGTTATATCTCAAGATGAAGGGAAGCAAGCTCTTGTTAGGCCTGCTAATGAGTCTGAAAGAGATGAATCTAGTGAGGATGATGGTGGTGGCCATGATGATTCCCCAATGCTGGAGGGTACTAGTGGGGAACCTTCTATTAAAAGAACAAACTCAAAGAAAAGGAAAAGAAATGTACAGGTATGTTTGTGAGCTGTATTCTGTTGTATGTGTGATATTATTTCTCCTTATCCATTTGATTTTTTTTTTCCTTGTGGTAGGATGCTGATAATGGTAAAGCCAATGGAACTCCAGAACTTCCCAGTGAAGGTGCAAAGGACAACTCTGAGAGTGAACAGAAGGGAGACCAACAACCAACTTCAACAACCAAGGCTTATGGCAAGAATTCCCCACCTAAGGAGGAATACATACATGTTAGGGCTCGCCGGGGTCAAGCAACAAATAGCCATAGCCTTGCAGAGAGAGTAAGATACAGTGAGAAATTTATCTGTGATGAAAAAGAAGTTTTTGGATGAAGAATTTAAATTACTTAAATTTTCTTTGCAGGTGAGGAGGGAAAAGATAAGTGAAAGGATGAAGTTTCTTCAAGACCTTGTACCCGGATGCAGCAAGGTGGCTTCTGAATTTGAAACCAGAAGAATTCACCATGTAATATTCTTCTTGTGTTTTGGATATATCACTTTCTTTTAACATGAATTTTTTTGATGTTTGTAGGTCACTGGCAAGGCAGTGATGCTAGATGAGATCATTAACTACGTACAATCACTTCAACGACAGGTTGAGGTAGGGGTGAAAGCTTATCTCCCAATTTGCCAACCTTTCATTCTTAAGTCATCTAATTGATTTTCTCTGTATGTTTTGGTTCTGCTTAAGCACAGTATCAATATTTACATCTCGATGGAATTTCTAATTAGCATCTTTGACAACCATAACATTCTTTTATGTGTTTGAAATTACCTCATTTTGAATGATTACTCCTGATATCTTATATGGTCACTGTTATCTTTGTTGTATTTTATGAGAAGATGAATAATAGAAAGATAAACTGTTTTACCAATGATCAGTTATATTCAATTGATGCTTGACACATATTTTGAGAAACCTTTAAATTTTTTATTCTAGTTAAATTGACCCACTCACCTTTTTTCCTTTGGCAGTTTTTGTCTATGAAACTTGCAACAGTAAATCCACGTCTGGATTTTAATATTGAAGGTTTTCTTGCCAAAGATGTAAGTTGTTAATCTATTTGGATACCAGTGAGAAAAAAACCTTATACTTTGCAAAAGTTCCAGACATCACCTTAATACATTCTGGACATTGTATCAGATTCTTCACCAACGGCCTAGTCCTTCGTCTGCTCTAGGGTTTCCTCTAGAAATGTCTATGGCTTTTCCTCCAATACACCCATCTCAACCAGGGCTGATTCAATCAATTATTCCTAACATGGCAAACTCATCCGATATCCTTCGAAGAACCGTCCATCCGCAGTTAGCACCCTTGAGTGGAGGATTCAAGGAACCAAATCAGGTATGGATCCATTGCTTTGCAATTGCAAGCACTGTAATTTCCTTTGCCCATCATTTCTTTGTTTATACGAGTAAACACTTCGAATTTGGTCGCTACAGCATATTGATATTTGATAGTAATTAGAAATGAAAGATTTATGAATGGACAATATTTGCTATAGATTACTGTACAGGAGGAATGTTGAAAATCTTCCATAAACCAAACTTTGGCCTTCCTTTGCAGTTATATAGCAAATTGCATATGTTTGTTCTAAATAACTCCCCCCCCCCGGGCAACACACACACACAACACCAAAACAAGATTTTGGCATAACTGTATTTTACAATCTTTATGTGCATATTTTGATAAAATTTGTAATAGCTTCCTGAGGTGTGGGAGGATGAGCTTCACAATGTTGTACAGATGAGCTTTGCACCAACTGCTCCCCTGAGTAGTCAAGATGTGGATGGTATATATTCCCCAACAAACTAGCCCTTTTTGCAAGTTATTTTTTCTCAATCAAATTACCATTTTGCATGCTCTTGTAGGTACTATGCCAGCAAGTCAGATGAAAGTTGAACTTTGATGTTTAGTCTACATACCATTCATCTCCCCTAAAGCGTGTATTTTGGCTTTCATTCTAGTCAGATGGAAATAAACTATGCTCAGAGTTTTACATATTACTTATCAAACTTGGGAGGCCATAACCACAATAGCCCTCCCTATACTTTAGACGAGATACTACTGAGTAATGACCTGGTGTCAAGGACTTGTGGGGCAGTCACATAGCCCCACAGAGGATTGACTCTAGATTAGAGGAAGTAGAGCAGTATTCATGGGTGTTCCTTTCTTTTCAAGCATGAAATATGTATTATATGTTTAGAAGTGGGAAGTCTGTTTACCAAAATAGGTTTGCCCACTGAATGTATTAAAGAATGTAAAGACAGGATCTCATTGAGTCTGATTAACCAGAAGGAGAAATTCAAAAGCTGTTTTTTTTTTTTTTTTTTTTTTTTTTTTTTTTTTTTTCTGTTGAGCTTGGCATGATTTACAAAGTGCAATGGGAACCTCTTCATGGTTTTGATTTGATGCTTGCTAGGACCTAGCATATAATGTAATGTTATTTTGCTTAACAATTAGCTATATTACATTCTTTCACAACTTGTTCGTATTTAGATGATACACTGGAGAGCTTTTTGTTCAAAGTGTTTACATTCAAAAGTTCAGCTCTCAACAATATAGTCTACAGTGGAAATAACATCTAGTAAATACTTGAAATCTTCATAAAGAAAAATAAAAGTGAGAAAATTAAAGTTTCCTCCTATGACTCAATGAAGAAAAAGAGGTTTTTATAGGAGGTTTAATAACAAAAAATACTTCAAGCTTTATTAAATGCATATAAGCTAACAAAACTTTGATGGAAGATACTTAATGGAACAGTGGGGACGAGTTATGCAGAAACGACACGGATTCACTCAAATAGAGTTCGTTAGGGCGTTTGGTAGAAGAGAAAAAAAAATTTATTCAAAAATATCAATTTTCAAAAATATGACTTTTACATTCAGTTTACAATAATATCTAAAAATTTAAAATATTTAAAAAAATTTAATTTTTCTGAAATCTCCAAGAATCCCGGGTAGCAAACGGGTTTTAAATATTATAAACAAAAACCCATTAAATTCAGTAACGAATATTAATTACAAATATCAAATACTAAAAGTTGGGGGACACGCCTCTGGCACATTTCAGACAACTAGTTTAAGAATACATATTTGATGTCCAATGATATAAATTTGCTAATCAACATTAGCTTCCAAGGTAATGTGTTCAGCTGGAATCCTTGAAGCCTTGAACAGTGAGTCAATATTGAGTGGTATAATTGCTGCACTTTAGCTACCGTTTGTGACATAATCATTCCGTGTACATGAATAATTTTCACTCTCAGGCAAAGTCCTTCGAACATTTATTATTTATCAACCTCGTTTTGGATCCTAATGACATCCATGTATGATTTCCCTTGTAGCTCGCGTGAAAGGAATCCATTGTAGTAATCTGCTACACCAATTCTTTTGAACATTGCAGGTCTTTCAGGAGTAACAAGGCTAGATACTGGACCCACAATTTTGTTCATTTCAGGCCAGTGAAATGCAGCAATAGAAATCCTCTCCTTCTCCGAGTTGACTGTTGCTCTATGTTCAATGCTCCGGTAAATTCCATTGGTCAGTATCTGCCAAATCATTTATGATAAGGGACAAATATAATAACATTGTTGTAACATTAATTATATCCCAAATGATAGAATGGATTTGTGAATGAATGATTTTGTGCTAGTTACCTCCAACATGTCTCCAACGTTGATGACAAAAGCATTAGGAAGAGGTTTAATAGGAACCCACATTCCATCTTTTCTTATTTGAAGACCTTCCATTTCATTCACTTGGAGAAGGATGGTAAGGACACCAGAATCAGAATGAGGATTGAGTCCAATGACTCGTTCTGGTTGAGGACATGTAGGGTAGTAATTCATCCTCATTGCTTGATTTAAATCTTCAAACAACTCTAACAGTTCGTTTTTTTCGATTTCAAGAGCTTTGGCTATAAGGCCAAGGATTTTAATGCAAATGTTTTTCAGTTCTAAACAATAGGTGTCTAGATTATCTCTGCAATGAAACAAAGTTTGTTAAGCCAACACAATGAATCAATGATGTTGTAGTAGCAAAGACAATTACAAGAGAGAGGGAGACAAACCTGAATGGTTGGGGAATATTAGGAAATAGGTGGGGATTCCTTGTGTGTAATGGAAAAGCCGTAATGTAGAACATATCTGCCCAGTCTAGCTTTTGATCCTCAGACACAACAAACAACTGACCAAACCCTTCCTTGTCTTCTGGTGTTTGCCAAAACAACTTCTTCTCTTCCATTGGGAGGTTGAAGAATTTTTGAACACCTATCTTCACATTTTCCACCAGTGAAGGGTTGACTTCATGATTAATCAGCTGTGATCAATTTCCAAATTTAAATTTTTATAAAGAAAATGAAATTAGATTCATTTCCCTCATAAAAAATCTCAACAACCATTATATATGTAGCAATGTCTTGTATGGTATATTCATCATGAGTGTAAAACCGAATTCTTGGCAAAAGTGTAGAGATTTTACATTCTCCAAAGCGTATTGTTCGCTATACTGTCGATTTTGCTTTAAAATTGAAATGTTTGTGTGATAGTAATAGAGTAAAGTTGAAATGTTTGTGTGATAGTAATAGATCTTTGCAAATACTTGAGGGGCGTTTTTTATACCGGAGATATTTTTTTTTATCAGCAAAAAAAAATTATTGGGGATTTGATAGGAATTTTTTTATTTCGGATAAGTTATTAAAAAGTGTTTGGTTGGTCAAAATTTTGTCGGAAAAGTTAGGTTAATTTTACTGATGCTATGTTTGGTTGATGGTAAAATATTGATGGGAAAGTGAATCGAAATTATCAAAATACCCATCTTTTTACTGTCATATAGTTCAGCAGGTTATTTTTTTTCTCAAAATGTTATATTCAGAATCCAAGAGAATGGAGAAAAAAAAATCCATGCCCTGAGTGGGATAATTTTTAGCTTTGTGTAGTTCAAAAGGAAAATTCTGAAAAAAAAAGTGCTGACATTTTGTTTACATTCTTCGTGTCAAACATAATAAATAAATATTCTCCATCCCACTTTCCCATTATTCCAACTAAAATACCCATATCAAACATCGCGTAAGTGTATACTCCCCACCGGAGTACATAATTGTTGATATTAGCCTCACTCAATAGCTTAAGCTTCTGAGTTGAATTGGTTCTTTACATTGGGTGAGACTACATTAATGGTTTTATATATCTCAACACGTCCTCTCACACGAGAACCCAGTGGGGGCGTGTTGAGATATATAAAACCATTAAAAAGAACCTCACTGCCCCCCACTTTCTTTCTAGTGGAATTTTTTTCTTCACACATGTAGGTGTGCCTGTGCATCGTCCACCCTTTAAGCCTAGTGGGCTCTCGTGTGAGGGGGCGTGTTGAGATTAGCCTGACCTAATAGCTTAAGCTTTTGAGTTGAATTGGTTCTTTACAATAGAATTTGTAAACAAAAAATTTGAAAAAAACAAAAAACGTATCCTTAAAACATTTAATAGACAAATAATTGAGTTCGAACCGTGAAATGGAGAACTGAGTTCGAGTTACAGACTCGCCTCATCTAGGGGTGTTCATAAACCGATCCAAATCGATTCAAACCGTGGTGACTGAACTGAAAAATCGATAATCGAATAAATCGAAAACTGAAAAATCGAAAACCGAAAAAAAATCGCAACTTTTAATTGGATTGGATCGATTTTCGGATTGGTAGATGAAAACCAATCCAATTCAAATCGATCCAATATATTAATTTTCCTTTACCTACTTGGGTCTTTCTCCAATCATAGCCCAAAAATTTCTAAATCCAAGATCCATTAACTCATCAACTAAACCCAAGAAAAAAATCTAGTCACATCTTATCAACAAAATTTCATCTATGTAGAGGTTCATATCTCATTTTTCAAAAAAAAAAAAACTATATTATATTTTACTGATGGTTTTGCATTTTAAAAAAATAAAATTACAAAGCCAATATATACAAAAGATGTTATTTGCACAATAATCATGAAACAAATTTTAGGATTTTCAAAAAACCGAAAACCGAAAACCGATCCAATCCAAACCGAAAAAAAATTGGATTAGATCGGATCGGATTTAAAAAAAAATCCAAACCGAATGGATGATTACATAATCAAACCGAAGGAATTAGATCGAATGGTTTTTGCTTCCAAAACCGATCCAATCCAGACCACGACCCCTGTCCTCATCTACTAATCTGACACAGCTCAAATCAATGGAGTTTTTTTTTTTCATTTTTCCCATCTTTGCTCTGATATTCATAATGAAATATTGAGATTGCAACTTATATCAAACAATCAATTGAAACGCTCCATATTTTGGGCCGTTAGATCTATTGCTTTCACTTTGGTATTAACAAACTTTTCCTTGTTGACCTTTGAAAATTGCCTTACATAAACGTCGAGCGTTGAAAGTTGAAACGCTCGTGCTTTAGGAAGCAGAGCCCATATAATAAATATAACATATGTCTCAAATAATTGCATTAAATCAAAGGAGGAGAATAAGCCAAACCTGGAAGAAACCCCATTCTTTGCATGCATGATCAAGCTTCTCTAGTTCAGTTGCATCTCCACACAACAATTTATGAAGGTCGATGACAGGAATTATTGGTAAATAGGTTGTGTCATATACAAAAGGAGGGTCTTGATTTGGACGAACATAACGTTCTGGAACTTTGGTGATGGGTTGATTTGCTAGCTCCTGGACAGAAGGCACCAATAGAGAGGTTCCTGGCTTAGCCATTAGATATGCAACTGAGTCCAATCCCCTAGCTTACATTGATTTGAAGAGTAACATTGAAAAGAGATAGATATCAATAATTCAATGTGGCCCACCTAGGTGTTAGTTTACTAGAAATGTTGCACACCTGACAAAAACAGGAAATTTTTTTTTAAATAAACTCAATGACTTTATTTTATTACCATATTTTTACTCCACGTAAAGTAATATAATATAGATTATATTATAATAAATTTTATTTTATTCTATGATATTTAATTATTTGTATTGACCATTAAATTATTAATAACACAAAAAATTATTGTATGAGTGAACTACTTGTGTGATTCTGTTCTAACTATGTTGTTTTGCCTCATATACAAGCATATATTTTCTTGAACACTTTTTTATTTATTAAGTATATTATAATAAATTTTGTTTTGTTTTATTTATAAATGTCATATAATTTTTTAATCATATATATTGATCGTCAAATATCTAAGGACAAAAAAAATTAAAAAAAAATCACTTGAGTTGTGTTGTCTCGCAACTAGGGTTGTTAATGGGCCGAACTGAGCCGAACTTTGGTCTTAAGAGGCTAAGTCTGTATTTAAATATGTCAGCTTCACCAAGCCTGTTATCTATCATGAGTATAACTATCGGTCTGTGGCCTGACTTATTTACAAAAAATAAAAGCATGTTTTAAAAAAATAAAACAACAAAAATTTATCCAAACAGAATATACAATCAGTAGTACTAGTAATTTCATAGATTTCGATATATATCCAAACAACATAATATAGAACAAAATCATTCAAAAAGTCTATTTAACCAATTAAATGGGACGAAATGGATTGAGGAGAGAGAGAGGACTATTACAAGCAGTATAAAAAATATAAAATAAAAATAAAAATTAATATACTAGGCCAGCTTGAGAGGCTCTAAGGTCGAACTTTTCAATTGGAGCCTGAGGCCTTTTATTAAACGAGTTTTTATACAAATCCAAGTCTGATTTCAACAACAATTTTAGACATGTAAGTTCAGGCCTTCACGAGTCGAGCCAAATGCCTTAACACCCCTACTCCCAACAAACACAATCACACATTTTCTATCATTGGAGTTAATGTAAATTTTTTTTTTTTTGCTATCTTAACATTCCCAATGTCGACTTTAAAAATAACAGTTATTGCGGATTACAAGGTGCCTTACATATGTTTTGGGTTTCCTTTTCTGGTCTTGTCTTATGGTTTTTCCCTTGATTTATTTGAAGGTTTTTTAAGTTAAATTTGTGTGTTTCATTTATTATTTTTAATATTTTTTTATCTATCGTTATTGTTCTGTCCCATCATGGGATTCTATTTCCTAACAATATTTGTTGTTACAAGTTGGGGAACTGAACACGCCTGAGGCATATATCATCAAACTAGTACAAGAATACACATTTCAAGTCCCATGATATAAATTTGCAAATAGACATTAGCTTCCAAGCTATCACATGATCAGCTTGAAGCGTTTAACAGTGATTTAACACCTAGAGGATTGTATTATTATACATTAGCTACCGTATAATTGTTTTCAGAGTACATGTTTTATTATTCAATCCCAAGCAAAGTCCTATGCGTACTTTTTTCATTCACCAATCTCATTTTGGATCCTAATGACATCAAGCAGTGATTTCCCTTGTAACTCACGTGAAAAGAATGCTTTAAAGTAATCTGCCACACTAATGCTTCTGAACAATGCAGGTCTTTCAGGAGTGACAAGGCTTGGTGTTGGACCAATAACTTTACTCATTTGAGGCCTATGAAATGTGGCAATGGAAATCCTTTCTTTCTTTGAGTTAACTGTTGCTCGATGTTCAATGCTCCGGTAAATTCCATTGGTCAGTATCTGCCAAAACATTTATGAAAAGGGACAAATGTAATAACTTTGTTGTAACATTAATTATATCCCAAATGATAAAAAGGATTTGTGAATGAATGATATTGTGCTAGTTACCTCCAACAAGTCTCCAACGTTGATGACAAAAGCATTAGGAAGAGGTTTAATAGGAATCCACATTCCATCTTTTCTTATTTGAAGGCCTTCAATTTCATTCACTTGGAGAAGGATGGTAAGGGCACCAGAATCAGAATGAGGATTGAGTCCAATGACTCGTTCTGGTTGAGGACATGTAGGGTAGTAATTCATCCTCATTGCTTGATTTAAATCTTCAAACAACTCTAACAGTTCGTTTTTTTCGATTTCAAGAGATTTGGCTATAAGGCCAAGGATTTTAATGCAAATGTTTTTCAGTTCTAAACAATAGGTGTCTAGATTATCTCTGCAATGAAACAAAGTTTGTTATGCCAACACAATGAATCAATAATGATGTTGTAGTAGCAAACACATTTACAAAGAGAGAGGGAGACAAACCTGAATGGTTGGGGAATATTAGGAAATAGGTGGGGATTCCTTGGAAAAGTGGCAATGTAGAACATATCTGCCCAGTCTAGCTTTTGATCCTCAGACACAACAAACAATTGACCAAACCCTTCCTTGTCTTCTGGTGTTTGCCAAAACTTCTTCTTCTCTTCCATTGGAAGGTTGAATAATTTTTGAACACCTATCTTTACATTTTCCACTAATGAAGGGTCGACCCCATGATTAATCAGCTGAAATTAATTTCATAATGAGTCAGTTCACTGACTAGATTTATTTCCTACATAATAAAAGATCTTGACTATTATATATGCAGCAATGTCTTGTATGATATATTCATCAAGATTGTAAAACCAAATTCTCGGCAAAAGTGTAAAGATTATTGCATACTCCAAAGTGTATGGTACCCAACACTATACATTTTGCTTTTAAAGTTAACTTGCGTGTTGCTGCAGGGGAATGAATATGTACAGGCAAAATAAACATTCAATTTTAAATAATTAATTTATAAAAAATAAATTTTTTAAAATAAGATTAATACTTAACAAAAAAATATTATAATCAGAGAATATACCAATTGGATTTTGAATCTCAATTATATATACATCCTTAATTTGTACGTTAAGAACCTTCACACAGTTTTTAATGATCAGATGAATTATTTTTCCTTCTTTGTTATGACAAACCTGGAAGAAGCCCCATTCTTTGCATGCATGATTCAACTTCTCTAGTTCAGTTGCATCTTCAGACCACAATTTGTTGAGGTCTATGACTGGGACTTGTGGTAAAGAGGTTGTGTTGTTAGACACAAAAGGAGGGTCTTGATTTGGTCGAACATATCGTTCAGGAACATGGGTGATGGGTTGCTTTGCTAGCTCCTGTACTGAAGGCACCAGTAAAGAGGTTCCTGGCTCAGCCATTAGATGCAATAGAGTCCAATCCCTAACTTGGATTGATTTTAAGAAGACATTGAAAGAGATAAGTATCAATAATTCAATGTGGCCCACCTAGGTGTTAATTTGCTAGAAATGTTGCACAGAAAAAAAAAAACCAATAACTTTTTTTTATTACTATAATTTTTATTGCACGAAAAATAATATTTTTTTGGTGCATTGAATCATTGTCACCGGAGGAATGGTGAGACTATTACCCCACAAAATTTTCCAAAAAATTGCATTAACCAAAGTTTGAACCCTTAAACAAAGCAATCTCTTGAGCACTCACTTGCCAAGTGAGCTACCTTTAAGGGTTATTATTATAATAAGTTTTATTTTATTCTATGTATGAATATCATGAAATTTTTTAATTATGTGTGTTAGGATATTCAAGTATGATAAAGTCACGCATTAATTGATATGGAGTTAAATGAAGTGGTAGGACCATAAATGTAGGGGTGACAATTTTGAACACAAGCTGTCTAAACAACACGAAAAATTTGTGTTCGGGCCGAGCTGTTTTTTAATTCGTGTTAGCAAAAACTAATACGAAAAATTTCTCTCTGTGTCGTGTGTCAACCCGAGTACCCAAAATTGACTCACTTTAATCTTCTTATATGTTATTTGTATCGTGTCGTAAACATGCTATTCATGTCTTATTGAGTTGTATCGACTCGAATAATAAACAACACACTTTAAGGTTAACAAGTCATTTGTGTCATGTCGTGTCGTGTCAAACCCACATAATAAATGACTCACTTTGAGTTTGCGGGTTATTCGTGTCGTGTCTTATTAACCCGTAAAATAAGCGGATCGTGTTTGTGACAAATATTTTAACTCAATTTCAAATTTATATAGTGTTCATGTTGAATTTGTATTGTGTTGTGTCAACCCAAATTATCACCGTAAATTCAATGTCTCAAGATTTTAGATGAAGATATAGTATCAGACCCATTTATTGTATTTGATTTAACTTAACCCATTGATTTGATCCCCCCAAATAAAGCGGGCCCGGTACACATAAAATATTCCAAAAGTAGAAAAGAATAGGGGAGTTAGAGGGAATATTCAAAAAAATGAAGGGCAAAAAAGGAAGCCCATTTTTCCAAAAATAAAAAAAAGGGCCACTCTAAAGAAATAGGCTGGGATCACTTTAAAAATTCCCCCTCTTCTCCTGCCCAGTAGACAATGTGTATTGTATATTGATCATTAAATTATTAATAACAAAACAAATTATTATATAAGTCAAATACTTGTATTGTATTGTTATATAATTATGTTGTCTGCATCACATACGATCAAATATTTTCTTGAACACTTTCTTATTTATTAGGTGTATAATAATAAATTTTGTTTTACTTTATTTATAAATAATTCATACATTTTAATCGTCAAATGTACAGGGAGACAAAATTGTGATGCAACAAACACAATCATACATTTCCTTCAAAACTTTTTTATTTATCAAGTAAAATTCAATGTGTATCTTATTAAATGATTTAGATTTTCTTTATCATTGAAGTTAATATAATTTTTTTTATTTGGAAAAGTTCAAAAACCTCTCTGTAATTTGTTCCATTATCATTTACCCTTTATACTTTTTTTCTATTACTTACATATTTTTTTATGATTTTTTCCACTCAAGTCCATCTTAATACTGATCAGATCAGTCTAATATGGATTGGACTAAATCATACACGATTGAAAGATGAAGACTTTGGGCTGTAAATAGTGCTTCGTGGGCTTGAGACGTTCACTGAGTATTTGAGGGTTGGTGAAGTCTTCTAGCGCAATGTAAATGACTGGAGGTACCTGTAAAGACACTTCGACGCTCAAGTCAGTATTAATGCTAGGTTTATGTTATGTTTAATAGAAATCAGATGATCATACCTGAGTTTGTACCCTTCATATTTATAACAAGCCTCATGCTACCTTTGGTAGGCCGCATGTCTTCTTATTGGTTGTTATGAGCTGCAGACTTGTCTGTCTCCGCTGGTGCCTTTCTGGCTAAGTCTATACATTTTTCTATTTTCTTAAAGTGGTGGCAAGTTAGAGCTATCTTTCTTGCGTTGCTCTGTATGCGCGGTGGATCTTAGCCTATTACAGAATCTTTCCTTAGTCTTTAAGTTACATAAGGTGATTTTGCGCAATGTCTGTATTTCGCGTTATAAGGCCATTGTGCTTTTTGGGCCTTTCTGCGCAATGTCTGTATCTCGCGTTATGAGACCATTGCGTTTCTTGGGCCCTTTTAGGGCCTTAACCTTTGTGGGTCTATGTAATTTTCCAGATCAAATACCATTAAATATTGGACTAATATTTCTATTTTACTCCTATGAACAATTAAAAAAAAACACGAGGTAAGTGATTAAAAGTAGAAAGCATAAGGGGTAAGAGATAAAATATTAAGCTATATGAGAATTTTTGAACTTTTTCGTAATAATAATAATAATAATAATAATAATAATAATAATAATAGTAAATAATTGATATGAGAAACATTATCGATCTCAACGCAAGCTAATGGAAGCATATCACCATTGCAAATAAAGGGTGTACTATTCAACATTTTCTAGAATTTGTTACCCAAAAAAAAAATTATTGCCTCGTGGAAAAAATAAGAATTGAGGTGAACATCGCTTTATATATATATAAAAATTTTGCAAATGTAATTAAATTGGATTAAATAACACAAAGTTATTAATTTTTTTTGAAATATTAATAGAAGCTCTATTTCTATTATTTTATTCTTAATATATTTTTAAATATTAGTTTTAATTTATTAAACAAATAAATAGATAAACTAAAAATAAAAAACTAAACTATTAAGACAATAATAATTTTTCCTTGAGTAACTATATGTATAAAAATAATGTATTCAAATACAACAACCGACAAATATAAAAATACACATATAAATGAAAAACATCAAAGACACATATGAATGATTTTGAAAAGAACACCGTTTATTTACAATGGTCTCCCATTAGCTTGTTCAGTCCCACATTTTTTCTAATGTCAAGTTTTTTCCTTTTATTTAATTGTTGTCAAGAGAAAGTTCAAAAAACGGTTTAATTTTTGAAAAAAGTGTTTATCTTATCAAGATAAAGTTATTTTCAGCAACCCTACAATGAAGTCATTTTGAGGATTGAGAGAATTAATTACAAATATTTTAAGAATTTTGTTTGTTTCCTTGTTAACCAAAATATCATTCATTAATTGTTTAACCTCAAAACGATATAATTTTAGAGTTGTTGATTATCTCACGTGACAGGATAAACAATAAATCCTTCTTTTTTTATTACTTATCTCACTTGTGCTTTTTTTAATCACTTACTTCTTTTGTATTTTTTTTATCCTTCGTTAACTTAATATTTGATGGTGTTAACATTGGATTTGGATGGAAAAAATAATAGGAAGATGAGTGACAGAAAAAATATAGAAAATAAATGATTATAGAGCAAACCACAATAAGGATTTAATTTTTTTTTCTAACTTAACATTTCCAATATTAACTTTAAGGGTGTGTTTGGTACAAGACAAATTTTTTGATGACCGGGAATCATGATTAATGGGAATACAGTAGAAATTGAGTTTACTTGGAATCTTACGAAAGAGATGTTTGGTTCGCCAAAATATTACCGGGAATATTGGGTAAAAATTACTGATTCCATATTTGGTTTAAAACGAAATATGACTTGGAATATGAGGTTATTTTACAAAAATAACCCCAAACTATTCTTACTTTTGTAATTGGTAGATTGGGTCTAGATTTTTATGTGTATTGAGATATTTTTGTCTCAAAATTTATTGTTGTGCTTTCCCATTACTTGGTATTCTGATTGGTATTTCGAATTACCATATTATTTTTGGTAATCTGAATAGTGACTTTTCTTTATAAATCAAATTACCGATAATCCTTGGATATCCGGGAATCGTAATTTATTCCTTCTACCAAACGTGATAATTACATTTACCAAAGAAGGATTACCGGTAATCCTCTTCAAAAACTTGAAACAAACACCCCCCTAAAGAGTTTAAAATAACGGTTGTTGCGGCTTACATGCTACCTCTGTACCTCACATCGGTTATGTTTGACCACTTAACAATTGTAATATTGACTTTAAAATAACATTGGTTGTAGAATACATTAAATGGTAACTCATATGCCATCAAATGTGGGCACAATTCACTAAGACTTTGGTTCATATCTTTTAAGAACATAGGTTCAAATCCCGACTCTAGTAGAATAGTAGAGTCTAACCTTACTTTAACTTTATTACAAAAAAATAAAAATGGGAACTCACATATATTACGTTTGATGAAATAAAATATACTACCACACAATTGTGTTAAAATTCGATAAGAAAAATTTTGTCGCTTATGTGATCTTACTAGCTCTCAAATTAGAGTAGTCGAATAGTCGGTTAGGAGAAGTGTGATCCTACATCCTACTAGCTCTCGAATTAGAGTAGTTGAGCAATCGGTTAGGAAAATTTTGCGGCCATATAGATTCTACTGGCTCTTGAATTAGAGTTATCGAATAATGGTGAACCAATAAATAATATAAAAAGAAAATTAAAGTATACTGAAATGATAAATTGCAAATTATGCGCCAACAGTCATTATAGATTTACTAACACAGCATCTGGATCTTATCATGTGAGAAATCATAACATACAAAAATAGATCAATAGTAATAAAAGAAGAGAGAGAAAATATATTAAAATAAGTAATTACAAAATCATAACCGTTGATTTACCTCACGTGACATCGTCATGTGATTTTCACATTAGAGGATCCATTTCCACCAACAGACAGAGGTGTGGTCCACTTAGGTGTTAATTCATTAGAAATATTTTCCTACTCAATTAACCGGGCTAGTAAATGAGTAAACGGTGCAAAAAGTTTTACATTAACCTCAAATCAAAATTAAACTTTATTTTATTGCACAGAGCATGATAATTTTAGTTAAGGGTACATGATGCTAATTCAATTGAAAATTGGGGCTCAAAGAGCGGTGTAGATCAGAGGGAGGATGACAAGATTGACAAATGCATTGACCACCTACACAGCAACTGGCAAATCCTTGGCACACTTTGTTGCAGTCTATCATCCGAGGGCATTCAAAGGGTCCTCTTCCTTCAACTGATCTTCCTATTCCCCCTGTCATTATTTAACCATTTTCATTACCAAATCAACTATAATATTTACATACAAACATACATGAGAGAGAGAGAGAGAGAACCAAACCAGTTATGCAAATCAAAAGGACCAGCAGAAAAGCCAACGCTGAACTCTTTGTCATGGTGTTGATGTTGACCTCACTGGGCTCTAGTTACTGGGTGTGTTGTACTGTTATGCAAGGGCGGTGGTGCTTTATATCTCAACGAAGAAACTATATTTAATGGGAAAAGGTTGAATTTTTATGAGATAACCCCCTAACTCCTAATCTACTTTATATCTCAACGAATATGCCAGCATTTATTATGTACCGTTTTTCTTGTGATTTTCTGCTATCTATATTTAATTTAATGCGATAGATTATTTTATCTACTTTTACTTTTATCTATCTTTGCTTATCATTCAAAAAAATTTATTAGATCAGAATTTTAATTAATATTTATTTTTCTCTCTCATATTTAAATTATGATCTAACAGTGTTGAAGATGGGTAGATAAAGGTAGACAAAAAAAAAAAAAGTAGGTAGAATAACCTATTCCCTATTTAATTACAAAAAATTTATGGTTGTTAATTTTTTTTACTTGTATCCTAGTTTCCCATATTATTACATTTGAATTCATTAAATAATGTATGAACACAAAATTAATTAATAATGTAAAATAATTTCATAACAACAATATATTAAATTAGACTCTTTAATTTAATGCCATCGATATGGAAACAATAAGAGGAAAACACATAAAAGTCGATTCTTCAGATTGAATTTTTTTTATTTTTCACTCCAAATATCTAACTTTTATATTTCATCCCAATTTTTATCTTGTGCTTGTTGGGTGGAGGAGTTTTTATTTGACTCTGACCAAATTTATTGTCTTCAATTAATTTGTAAAGTCAAATGCATCATTCCATGCTAACTTTTCCCGTTTTATTTTTCAGATATAATTTAAGTTGACATTTTCTAACCTTTTAAGGTAACGCCAAAAGTAAATTAAAAAAAAAAGTTTGGACTATACTACCAGAACAAAATTGTTAATTAATTGTCTGATACAAGTAAGGATTACTAATATTTTAAACATTTTAAATATAATCATACAAAATATTATAATGCTAGTTTTAATTATATTAGGATCACAACATAAATTTTTTAGTGTCACAATTGGTTTTTACTCTTCCACTTTAATTTTATATTATCCAAAGAATAAAATAATATACTGATATTTAAGACAATTGCGCTAGATTATATGGAGAAAATATCTAGATTACCTACTTAGTGATTGATTACAAATGGAGGGAAGGTAACAACAAAGTCTTGCATGTCCCTTTAAAAAGGGTTTGTCAAGTGTGGAAAACATCAATGAGACTTAAGCGGATGTCTTTGTTTTTTTATTTTTTTTAATAGTTAGAAATTTAGATTATGGGAGGCACGCACCCCTCCGTAAGACCCAAGAAAATCTCTAATCTCTAATCTCATCTAGGATTAAAAGTGAAAGTATATATATACATGGAAAAATATACTCTGGAAAGTGTTTTTCTCTCCTACAAATACATCGATTTCTATATTACTTTTTTTTTTATATTTTTCTATAAGTGGTGGATCCCACATATGATTGTCTTATAGCATGAGAGAGCTTCTCTCTTATTGCATGAGATTAATAAAGCACATATAGCATAGAGGAAAATTTGACAGTCGAACCCAAATCATGACTAGCATATGGAAGGTTCCACCAGTTGTGCCAACTCTCATTGAAGACTAATGTCTTTATAATAAATGTGTGAGGAAGTTCCGCATCAATAAAAAAATAAACTAAGTGTGCGGCATATCAATAAAAAGCTCCTAAGCCTATTGGCTTAGGAGGAATGTAAGGTTTAGGGAAATGAGCTTCCCTTGGCAACTTAATAGTTTTAGATGATCATAATGGTGGAATCTTAAACTCACACTCGAGTAACATTGTCAAAATACATAACTTGTCCTTGAGAATTCATGGATTGTCATTTAGCTTATTGACATATTTTTCTCACCATGGCTCCCCTTTGTTGCATAACATTTACAAAGTAGATGCTCAAGTTGCAAGTTATATCTATGCTTGGAGCCTAGAACACAGTCAACACAGAGCTAGTCAATACTTACTAGCATTATTGCTGTATATTAGCCACCGTCTGTGACATAATGTTTTCTGTGAACATGATTTATTTTTCAGATCCCATGCAAAGTCCTATGCACTTTTATCATTGCCCACCTCATTTTGAGTCCTCATGATATCAATGTATGATTTCTCATGTATCTGGCGTGAAAAGTATCCTTTGTAGTAATCTGCAACACCAATTCTTTTAAACAATGCTGGTCTTTCAGGTTTAATAAGGCTTGGTGTTGGACCTATAACTCTCTGCAATCCAGGCCTGTGAAATGTGACAAGGGAAATCCTCTCCTTCTCTTGGTTAATTGTCGCTCTATGTTCAACGCTCCGGTAAATCCCGTTAGTCAATATCTGCCAAATCGTTTGAAAGAGTTACCAAAAAATTCCTAAAATCAAAATAGTAGTGTGTATTCTTACACTGTTGTTAATTTGTTAATTACCTTAATGTCTAAAAATAAAAGGAGTTGCAAATGATTTTCAGCCAATTACCTCCAAAATGTCTCCAACGTTGATGACAAAAGCATTGGAGATTGGTTTAATAGGAATCCACATTCCATCTTTTCTTATTTGGAGACCGTCTATTTCATTGGCTTGGAGAAGAATGTTAAGGGCACCAGCATCAGAATGAGGACCGAGTCCAATGACTTGCTCTGGCTGGGGACATGGAGGGTAGTAATTGATCCTCATTACTTGGCCTATATCTTCAAATAACTCTAGCAATTCATTGGGTTTGGTCTTAAGAGCTTTTGTCATAGAGCCAATTATTGTGAGGCAAATGTTTTTCAATTCTAAAGAGTACTTCTCTAAATTATCTCTGCAATGAGACAAAGTGTATTTTACTTAACAACAAAATCAAATCAATAATGATCTAGTCAAGGTGGTAGCAACATAAACACACAAATGACTCACAAACACACACGATGAGAATGAAAGAAGGGACACAACCTGAATGGTTGGGGAATACTAGGAAATAGGTGGGGACGCCTTGCGTATAATGGAAGAGTGGTCATGGAGAACATGTCTGCCCAATCAAGCTTTTGTTCCTCAGATAAAACAAACAACTGACCAAACCCCTCCATTTGTTCTGGTTTTTGCCATAATTTCTTCTTCTCTTCCATTGGAAGATTGAAGAATTCTTCAACACCTAACTTCACATTTTCCACTAACGAAGGATTGACTCCATGATTAATAAGCTGTTATTAATTTGCATGTATATTAGACGTGTTACAGAGGAAATAATATTGAATTTGTTTCCTTCATAACAAATTTCGACTATTATAAATGCAGCAAATTTTTTTTTTTGGATAAACCACAGGTATCCTCTACGAGAGGCAATCCTGTTCGAGCCAGAAACATTCACATTATAAATGCAGCAATTTCTTGAATAGCTAGCATATTCATGATGTGTGTAAAAGTAAATTGGTAAAATTTTAAAGATTATGTTACACACAAAAGACTTTTGCCTAAAACTTAAATATATGCAAATATTCAATTTTTGTCAGATATCACGTTCGTATCAATCAGGAATCATACTCTTTGAGGAGGTACCTTTGTTTCTAAAATTGAGGCTAGAAATGAACAGCCTGTTTCCAACTTGGTATTTCTTTAATGATTCCAAACATTTTAACATTCTTGACACTACATATTTACACTTGGTTTGTTGAAAGATCATTATGCAGATTTTTAAAAGAAAGAATGAGAGCTTGAAAGCTTTGAAGTTGAAGTTTCCATCAAAGAGAACAAGTTGAACTATACTGGTGAATGAATTCTCAGTAGGAGTCGGTGTTATGGAAAGCAAGATATACCAAGAGAATAAAGATTGTATGAAGTCTTTACTGTCATGAAATGAAAAGATACAAGATGATGTCCTAAGGTGCAAAGCTATGGTTTCATGAAGATAGAAGGAGAAAGGCCAATCCTATGAAGACTATAAGAGCTTATTGTAGATAAAAAGAAATTTTAAGATGTGACTACTAGATGAAATCAAGAAAGGCATGCACATGAATGAAGATGTGTGATAGGGCCCAACTTAACAAAGCCCAATATGGCAAGGTTTATGTCAGAGACAGTAAGAGAGGTAAGGGGCCCAAGGGAGGGATCAGAATGGGTGTTGTATCACTGCCCAAAGTGCATGCTGAGTCAGCTGGTTTGTTAGGGGAGATTGTTACACATGCTGCAACGGAAGATGATAAAGGAGAGACGTGAAGATGGAACAATCACCGTGGAGGTCATGGGAATTGCTGATGCAAAGTGGGAGATCTCACGGCATCTCGAAAGCCCCTAAAGCATTTACATTCTGTTGATTTTTTTCTTTATTCCTTTCTGCACAATCTGAGCTATAGCAGCACTATAGTATGTAACCAGATTTGTTTCAAGTGTAACCTTGTTGAATTTTACTGGTTTGAGATTTAAATAGAGGAATTATTCAGAAAATTCTATTGTTTACTGTTTGATTCCTATCAAATTGGTATCAAAGCTCCGACTGGGAGCTGGGTTATGGTGCGAACGAGAACCATGGAAGGATTGGAAGAACGATTACGTCGAACGGAGGTTGAGCAAGATGAGCTGATCAAACGGATGGAAGCGAGTGATATAAACCAGGCCGAGATCATCAGACAGTTGAGGGAGCTTGGGGCTGGAATCCAGGAACTTAGATCTGAAGCATTTAGAGATGAATGGAATTTTGGGGATAGGAGGAGAAGTGGTTCCTTTGGTTCCAACGACAACCGCAGAGGAGCAGGATACGGCGAGCCCAAGTGCAGGAAGCTTGAGGTTCCATCGTTCTCTGGGCATAACGCGTACGCGTGGTTAAGCAAGGTGGAGAGGTATTTCCAAGTGAACGAGATTGGGGACGAGGAAAAGGTGGCAGCGGTGATGCTCGTTCTGGAAGGAGAAGCCTTCACGTGGTACCAATGGTGGGAGCTCAACAACGTCACCATTACTTGGGAACTGTTCAGGCGCGAGATTTTGGGTCGTTTTCAACCTGAGATGGTTGACAATCCATACGACCCTCTGTATGCGTTGAAGCAGACCGGTTCCGTTGCTGAATTCCGTGCGGAGTTCGAGTTGGTGGTAGGGACAATGAGGTATGCAGATGAAGAGATCTTGAAAGGGGCATGGCTGAGTGGGCTGAAGGCAAGCATAAGGGAGGAAGTCCTAATGAGTCCAGGGCTACGTTTTTCGTCCGTAATGAAGTTGGCCCAAAGGATTGACCTTAGAAATGCTGCATGGGCTGAGGAGGGAGTGGGTTTTTTTGGTCCAAAAAATTCGTTTGGGCCTCAAAAATACCATTCGGGCCCAAGGAACCCAAACCAAGGGAACTATTCTAATAGTGGATTAGGGCACACGACGCAGGCAACATCTGATTTCCCCAAATCCTCCCAAACACGAACGAAGACAGGAGAACCAACTATGGGCAGCTCCTCCGGAAGTCGTGTGACGGAGACGTCTCAGAACAAGTTCAAGCATCTTTCAGATGCTAAAACCCAAGAACGAAGACGACGTGGGCTTTGTTTTCGGTGCGATGAAAAGTGGGGACCAGAGCATAGGTGTACGGCCCGACAACTCCATCTCCTCATCGTGGGAGATGAAGACGCGGATAACTTGAAGTCGATGGAAGATGACGATCTGGCTTGGCGGTTCCGTTGCAGGACGAGGACGATGCGGCCCTCCAGTTATCGTTGCACAGCCTTATGGGCATCTCTTCTAATCAGTCCATGAAGGTATGGGGAACGATTGGGGACAAAAGAGTGGAGGTGCTCATTGATTGTGGGGCATCTAGTAACTTCGTTAAGCAAGGGTTGATTGACAGCTTGGGGTTGAAGGAAGAACCGACACCTACCTACACGGTGGTGATAGGGAACGAACATAAAGTGATTTGCCAAGGAGTGCGTAGAGAAGTTGTGATCGAGATTCAGAACAGCATCGTTGTGCAAGACCTGTATCTGTTCGATCTTGGTGGGGCTGATGTGGTGTTAGGGCTGGATTGGCTTAAGGGGTTGGGAGAAATTAAAGCCAATTTTAGAGAGTTGACCATCAAATTTCTAAACAGTGGGCAGGAAACAACAATTAAAGGAGACCCCTCTCTTTCCAAGACCATCGCCTCACTCAAATCTATGGCAAAGGCACTGGAACAGCAAGGGCAGGGCTACTTCATGAAGTGGGAAATTCCTCTTTCATCTCAGAAATTCCTAGTTGAATGAAAGGAGCTTGATGATCTGTTAAAGGAGTATGGGGATATTTTTGTTGAGGCCAAAGGATTTCCACCAAAGAGGAGTCAGGACCATGCCATTTTGTTGAAGCCAGAAGCTCAAGTGCCCAACATCAGCCCCTACAGGTACTCTTTTTACCAAAAATCTGAGATTGAGAAACTGGTGGCAGAGTTGTCGAGTGATGGAATGATTCGACCAAGTGTGAGCCCATATTCGAGTCCTGCTATTTTGGTTAAAAAAAAAGATGGGAGCTGGAGAGTTTGCGTGGATTATAGGGCCTTGAATAAGGTTACAATACCGGATAAATTTCCCCTTCCGGTTGTTGATGAATTATTGGATGAAGTGGGGGGATCAAGAGTGTTCAGTAAGCTGGACCTCAAATCGGGATTCAGTCAAATCCAAATGAAGGAGGAGGAAATCCCCAAGACGGCCTTTAGGACTCACGAGGGGCATTATGAGTATTTAGTAATGCCATTTGGCCTTACTAATGCTCCCTCCACCTTTCAGGCTCTTATGAATGAGGTGTTGAAGCCGTACCTAAGGAAGTTTGCTTTGGTTTTCTTTGACGACATATTGGTATATAGCAAAGGGGCTGTGGAGGATGTTGACCACCTGAGGAAGATATTCAGCACTCTGCGTTCTCACAAACTGTTTGCAAATAGAAAAAAATGTGTCTTTGGTCAAAGGCAAGTTCAGTACCTAGGACACATCATTACTGAAGATGGGGTACAAGCTGATCCCTTGAAGATCAAGGCAATGGAAGAGTGGCCAGTTCCCAAAAACATAAAAAGGTTGAGGGGATTCCAAGGATTAACGGGGTACTATAGGAAATTTGTGAAGGACTATGGCATGATAGCACGCCCTCTCACGGATTTGCTGAAGAAGGATGCTTTCAAGTGGGATGCAAATGCACAAGCTGCCTTTGATCAATTGAAAAAGCTGATGAGTGTTGTCCCTGTATTAGCTTTACTTGATTTCTCCAAGACTTTTGAAGTGGTAACGGATGCCTCCGGTAGGGGAATAGGAGCAGTGTTGATGCAAGAAGGAAGGCCCCTGGCTTATATTAGTAGGGGATTCTCACAGTATGCCATGGGGAAATCCGTTTACAAAAAAGAATTAATTGTTGTGGTATTTGCTGTCAATAAATGGAGACCCTATCTCTTGGGTAGTCACTTTGTGGTTAAAACAGACCAGAAGAGCCTAAAATATTTGTTGGAGCAGAGAGTCTTGGGGGAAGGTCAACATAAGTGGGTCTCAAAACTTATGGGGTACGATTTTGAGATTCATTATCAGCCGGGAAAAGGGAACCTCGTTACTGATGCCTTGTCTCGTAGTGAGGAATTTTATTTGCTATCTAAAGCACAACTGCCACAGTTGGGGGAAATTGACCTTGAAGTGCAAGCTGACACACGACTTATAGGGATAATTCAGAATCTTTTGGAAGATCCAGCTTCTCACGCTGGATTCCACCTACAGGGTGGACGTCTTTTCTACAAAAACAGGTTGGTCCTCTCTAAATCTTCTAAGTTTATTCCTTCCATTCTGTCAGAATTCCATGATTCTTGTATTGGGGGACACTCTGGGTTCTCTAGGACGTATAGGAGAATGGTTGGGGTTGTTTTTTGGGAGGGCATGAGGAAGACGGTCCAACGATATGTGATGGATTGTGTGGTTTGTCAACAAAATAAAATTCAGAACCTTTCACCAGCTGGGCTATTGCAACCCCTGCCAATACCGTCTCAGGTTTGGACGGACATATCCATAGATTTTGTGGGTGGGTTACCAAAGGTTCACGGAGTTGATACTATCTTTGTCGTGGTAGACCGCCTCACTAAATTTGCTCATTTCTTACCATTAGCTCATCCTTATTCGGCTAAAGAGGTTGCTGACCTGTTTGTTAAAGAAGTGGTGTGGTTACATGGATTCCTCCTTACAATTGTGTCAGATAGGGACCGACTGTTTCAAAGCCATTTTTGGGCAGAGCTCTTCAAATGTGCAGGGACAAAACTCAATTTTACAACTTCCTATCATCCTCAATCTAATGGGCAGACGGAGGTGGTAAATAGGAGCCTTGAAACTTATTTACGTTGCTTTTGTAGTCCAAAACCACGCACTTGGCCAAAATGGTTGCATTGGGCGGAGTATTGGTACAACACCACATATAAAAATTCCACAGGGATGACCCCATTTAAGGCTTTGTATGGTGTGGATCCCCCTAGCTTATTGAGGGTTGGTAATAGTTTTCCGGTGGTAGATGCGGTTTCCCAACTGTTGGCGGATAGGGAAGCTATATTGGATGAGTTAAAGGAGAATTTGTGTCATACTCAGGACCGTATAAAGTCTCAAGCGGATAAAATAAGGAGGGAGGTGCATTTTGAGGTGGGTAATCTTGTCTATTTGCGTCTTCAGCCTTACAGATTGAAGTCCTTGGCTTCAAAAGTCAATGAAAAATTAAGTCCACGCTATTATGGACCATTTGAAATTCTGAATAAGGTGGGTGCATCTGCTTATAAGTTAGCTCTTCCGCCTACTAGCAAGGTTCATCCGGTTTTTCACGTTTCCTTGCTCAAGAAAGCAGAGCGTCCCACTGACAATGCACAACCCTTGCCCCCTGGCTTATCGGAAGAATGAGAACTGTTTGTGGTGCCTGAAAAGGTCTTACAATGGCGCAGGGGTCACCAAGGACAGTTGCAAGTATTAATTCAGTGGCATGATCTTCCTACATTTGAGAATTCATGGGAAGACTATCCTGTTATCCAATCTCAATTTCCTGACTTTCACCATGAGGACAAGGTGCTTTCTTTGGGGGGAAGTATTGATAGGGCCCAACTTAACAAAGCCTAATATGGCAAGGTTTATGTCAGAGACAGTAAGAGAGGTAAGGGGCCCAAGGGAGGGATCAGAATGGGTGCTGTATCACAGCCCAAAGTGCACGCTGAGTCAGCTGGTTTGTTAGGGGAGTTTGTTACACATGCTGCAACGGAAGATGATAAAGGGGAGACGTGAAGATGGAACAATCACCGTGGAGGTCATGGGAATTGCTGATGCAAAGTGGGAGATCTCAGGGCATCTCGAAAGCCTCTGAAGCATTTACATTCTGTTGATTTTTTTCTTTATTTCTTTCTGCACAATCTGAGCTATAGCAGCACTATAGTATGTAACCAGATTTGTTTCAAGTGTAACCTTGTTGAATTTTACCGGTTTGAGATTTAAATAGAGGAATTATTCAGAAAATTCTATTGTTTACTGTTTGATTCCTATCAATGTGTTTGCTATGTTTTGATCTAGCAAAGGTTTAGAAGCTGCTCGGATAAGCTAGCTCATGAAAAGATAAGCTAGCTCATTAATTAATTAATTAGGTTTTCTTTGAGAGAAGCTCATTTTATTCTTCTTTGTGCTTTAGAGAGATTATTTACACTCTTAGTGTTTGTCTCTGGTGCTACTACAGCTGTATACTGCTGTATGAGCTTGAGGGCTTGAGAGAAGCTTGTGTGAGCTCTTTGTTAGGTCCTTGAGTGACTTGTGAGTAAGGTTGAGTGAAAAACTTGTTATATCTAGCTTGGAGAGGTTAGGGTGTAAGAAAACTACCTGTAACTAGCTTGAAGAGGGTGGAACAAAAGACACTTGATTGAATAGTAAAGATCTCAACTTTACTGGGGACTGGATGTATACTCCACATTGGATATTGAATCAGTAAAAAGTCTCGCTATGCAAGCTTCTATATCCCTTTTCTTTGCCATTTCTTGCTTGAAAGTGTGCTTATCTTATTGTATGATCCATTTTCTATCTGTTTGCAGTAGTTTTCAAAGTTTCTCAAGTCTTCTTTTGCCAACGCAGTAATCTAAATGCATTTAACTAATTTACCTAGTTAATCATTAAACAAAATTATGTTACGAAAAGGTTTAATATGGCACGATCACTAATCTAAAATTATGTTATCATCGGTTGTAAGAGTCGCCAAACATGCAACATTGCCACCCTTTATATAATATAATTTAATCTTTTCAACTAAATTTCTTAAATTTTACTTTGCTTTTCGTTTTAAAGATGTGAACTCTAGGTTGAGATCTAGGAGATCTTTTAAGCAGTGAAAAAAATAATAGAGGCATAAAAATCCAAACCTGGAAGAAACCCCATTCTTTGCATCCATGGTCTAGTTTCTCTAGTTCAGTTGCATCTTCAGACAACAATTTGTTCAGGTCAATGACTGGAACTTGTGGCAAAGATGTTGTGTAAGATACAACAGGAGGGTCTTGATTTGGACGAACATATTGTTCTGGAACTTTGGTCATGGGTTGCTTTGCCAGCTCCTGGACAGAAGGTACTGGCATAGAGGTTCCAAGGTTGGGAATTTTGGCATCCATTGCTGCAAATGAGTCCAATTAGTTTGCTGCTCCTTTTTCTGATCAATCCTCTTCTGGTTTGATTCGTGGTCCACTAGCTTTCAATTTTCAATAGATTTAAACAAAATTAAATGTATTAGTATTTTTCTCTCCAATTTCACAAGTAATCAAATGATTTTTAGCAAGTTTTGTTGTATCTTAAAATTATCTGGCTAACATTTCCCTATACACCATTAGGCTCCAGTATGGGAAGGCCAAATCTGATGCAGATTATTGTAGTCTTATGATCAATTTATAACTGCTTGTGTTTTAACTTTTCTGTCTAACCTATAATATTCAACGAAACCTCATGCAATTAGAAATGCCAATATGTGGATGGAGGTCCAAATGCATCATTTCACGTTGTTTCATACTCCAGATAATTCCCCATGAATATAACAGTCAAGTTCATTTCATGTTACCAGCAGAAATATTGATTTTAATATCTCTAACCGCAATATCATAAAGAAAAATACAACTCAAGAATGAAAAGAATCACAAATGATTCATTTTCAAATCATGGTAAATGGCCGTATTTACTGAGCAAGTGTTATAAAGCCAGTAAGACACACATGCTAAGTAATTCATCTATATATATTTAACCCTGACAATAGAATCGAAACTAGCGAATTAGCATAGAAATTCTACTAGTGGATGATACATCAACAGAACAAAATGTATAATAATAATAATAATAATAATAATAATAAAGCATATGAAGCATATTACCAGGTTGAAGAGTGCATGTAGTGACTATGCTGGAAGAGGGAAAGTAACAAAAGGGGGATGAAGAAGTTGTCGTCAACGAAGATAAAGGAAAGAACACAGGTGTTATATAAAATGATTAATTTAGTTTATTTGTATTGCTTTATATCTCTCCTGTTGCTTCGCAGGAATAGTAAATTTCTCCGCCAATAACTAAACACATTTTTTTAATAAGGGTTTACAAGAGTTATGTTGTAAGAAAAGTAATTGTGTAATGTTATAGAGATTTGTTTTGCGTGCTTAGTTTTTTTTTTTTTTTTTTTGCTTTAGAAAGTGTGGGCCCCACAAAATATTGTCTGTGTAGAAAAGTTGTTGGTGTCATGTGAAATGAGAGATGTAAATCCCTTTTAATAAAATAAAGGAAACTTGTTATAAAAAAAAAATAAAGGAAACTTGAAAAACTTAAAATAAAGTAATAAAATAACGTGTTTAGTAATAAATTAAACCTTTATTAGTAAAAGGTTGCAGTTGCAGCTCTTGACTCAAGAGTCACAACACAACTCTTCACAAAATGTCTTTTCATAAGAAATTACTCTTCACAAAATACCTTCTCGTTGTCTATAAAAAAAAATCTATTCAAACACTATCAAAAATGAATCTTGACCTAAATCATTTTCAGCATTTCCTATTTTTAAAAGAATTATTTCACCAAAAAATAAAGATCGCTTTAATGATTTTATATTAGACTTCTCTGTTACATTTCTTCTTACAAGAGACTATTGGACTTGAAGAATGAATATTAGAATAGTCACTGGCTCTGGTATCGTATTAAACAATCATCTCCCATGCAAGCTCAAGCTTATTCACTGGCAGACCCATGTGTGGGCAAACATTCGCAAGGGCAGACATAAAATTTTTGATTTTAGTTTTTTTTTTTTTTTCTTTGTTGCAGGTTTTTATTTGTCTCTTAGTTCAATATTTATATTAGGAATAAATACCCTTTTAAGTCCCTAACAAAAAATATGGTCTCCATTTTATTCCTTTACAAAAAAATTTAGTCTCGATGTCCTTAAAAAATTCAAAGTGGATCAATTTAGTTAAAATCGTGATCTATCACAAATTCAAAAAAAAACCTACATTAGTCCCTCAAAAAGATCAAAATGGATCCATTTTGAATTTCTTAAGGATCAGGTGACTATTTTTTTTTTTTTATAATAGACTAAAGTGGGGATCGAATTTTTTGTTAGAGAACCAAAGAAGATATTTATTCTTATATTAGTTAGCAACGTACGGAGATGATTAAAACAATGTAGCAACACAAATTGATTAGAGAGAAAACTTATTCTTCCTCCCCTGTCACGTATCCATTCTCATGCTCTCTTCATCCTTTTTTTCCTTTTTCATTTTTATAAAAAAAGAGGATTGATTGCAGGTCTGACATTCTCAAATAAGTTAATATTTAGAGATGAGGCATTCACTGTGATTTTGCTTGCCTTCTGTGCAGATAGTGTTAACTTTTTTATTCACCACTATAAATTAGAATAATGATGTATGGATGTACTTGAGTATATTCTCATATTTGGTTTGGAGAATTGGTAAGATTTAGGAGAAAAAAATGATTGGTCAAACTATTATTTGCAGCTTGTTATGAAAGCAACTAAATTATGAGCGGGTTCAAGCGTTAATTTAAACTTTCTTTAAAAACATTGAACAGGCCTTGAGGATTCACCACAAATTTTATAGTTCTGCAATTTCTCACTTCAACAACTTAATCAATGAAAAGTTTTGGATTCCTGATCTCAGAAATCACACCACATATCAGCCAACTAGTTCAAGAATACACATTTCAACTTCCATAACATAAATTTGCTAATCCACGTTAGCCTCTAAGGTATTATATATTCAGCTTGAAGCCTAGAACACACAATCAATACAGAATGAGTCAATACTCACTGTCATTATTGCTGTAGCTTAGCCACTGTTTGTAACATGATGTTTTCCATGAACTTCTTTTATTTTTCCTTGTCCCATTCAAAGTCCTATGCGCTTTTATTATTACCCTTCTCATTTTGAGTTCTCATGGTATCAATGTATGATTTCCCTTGTAACTCGCGTGAAAAGTATCCTTTGTAGTAATCTGCAACACCAATTCTTTTAAATAATGCTGGTTTTTCAGGTTTAATAAGGCTTGGTGATGGGCCTATAATTTTGTGCAATCCAGGCCTGTGAAATGTGACAAGGGAAATCCTCTCCTTTTCTCGGTTAATTGTGGCTCGATGTTCGACACTCCGGTAAATCCCGTTGGTCAGTATCTGCCAAACCATTTGAAAAAGTTACCAAAAAATTCTTAAAATCAAATTAATAGTGTGTATTCTAGTTTTCCTTATTCTTAGACTGTTGTAAATTACCTGAATGTCTAAGAATAAAAGGAGTTGCAAGTGATTTTCAGCCAATTACCTCCAAAATGTCTCCAACATTGATGACAAAAGCATTGGAGATGGGTTTAATAGGAATCCACATTCCATCTTTTCTTATTTGGAGGCCTTCTATTTCATTGACATGAAGAAGCATGTTAAGGGCACCAGCATCAGAATGAGGATTGAGTCCAATATATTATTTTTTTAATATTTAACAAAAGATATATTGAATCTTCAATATTTTCGAATAGAGCCACGTCGGCAACGGAAAAAAATTAAAAGTGGCTTGTGAAAAGTCCCTTATGAGCCAACGGAAATCCACGTCGCCAACTAACGCATGAGAAGGAGGAAACCCACATTAAAATTAAATTACGAGAAAGAGAAAGGTAACATCAAGTCAACAGCTAAATTATATCGACTTGTTTTTATTATTATATTTATTATATATATTTATATAAATCAATTATACATGATTAAATCAATGATTTATTAACCCATTACCTGAATAATCAATCCGAGTTCAATATTATTGTGTAAGGTCAATAATTTTTTTTATAAAAACATATAAAATAAAAAGGAAGTTATATTTTTTTTTTCTCGCCACCTCTTACCATTAATCTTGTTATTATTGAATCAAAATCTATTTAACAGTTATAAAATGATATTAAGTGAGAGCCATTCAATTGATTTTGATCAAACGATAACAAAATTAATGATAAGAGATGGTAAGTATAACATATTCCACAAAATAAAATTATAAACTTTTTTAGAAAAAGTTAAAAACTTATGAAATGCTACAAAAATATTATATGTACGATGTTTCTTGCCTTATGATATATGGATAATTATTTGATTTTTCATGACTTTTGGTATATCACATAATTACCAAACTAATAATATGTTGAAGTGTAACTATTATCATATTTATGTTTAGAATTCTATATAAAAACCTGACCCTATGGAAAATTGAATGACTAGTGGATTTAGAATTTGGTGATACTCTCATGCTTTAATCTTTCTTAATTTTTATTCCTCGTTTCATTTTTTCTACTTTTTTATCCTAATTTTGTAGCACGTTATCATTATGAATATTCTTTACCACATCAAACCAGGGTTAAAAGATTTACAAACAAACAAATATATATTTTTTTTATCTAAAAGGTGTATATTCTTTTGTGTATTCTTTAATTAACTTTTAATTCATATTATTTTATAAATTATTTATTTTATCTTTGTTTAATCAGAAATCAATTTCAAATCTAAAAATATTCTAACGTTCCTGGAGTGACATGACTATTTGGTAATTTTTTTAATTAATTTAAGGATTTTTTTTCATTATAGTATTATTGGAAATATAGAAAAAACATAGTTTCACCTCCGGAGGACCGAAAGTGATTGGAAATAATTATCTATCCTAATGCCTTGATATGAAAATAAATCTTTAGGAATATCAGAATTTGGAACATCAGATAAAAAGGATAAAGCAAGTGAATTAATTTTTATTGTCATTATTTGCACCATAGATAATTATTTTCACCATAGATAATTATTTTCACTCACTTGAAATTTGGGATTTTCAATATTTATCATAATATTGTTTGAAAAAAATCAATTTAATTAGAAGGATCATCGAATAACCACCGCCAATTCAAGAATAGAAGGATATTTTAGATTTGAAATTAATTTTAGATTTAACAAAAATAAATTAAAGAATTGGTCGAAGAAAATGAACTAGAAATAGATAATAATAAAAATGAATACTAACTTTATAAAAAAAAAAAAAATTTGTTTGGAAAGTGGTGATAACTTGGTGTAAAATTGATTACAATAATATAGAATAAAATGAAAGTGTGGAAAGAAAGAGAATATATAAATGAGAGATTATTATCATTTCAAGATGATGGTGGATTCAAAATTTGATGATATTAAAAGTTTATCCATTAATTTTTCTTTATTTTCTCTCTACTTTAATTTTTTTTTTATCTTTGTTTTATAGGATAAGTTATTTTATCTATTTTTTTTGCCTATTTTTTCCTATCAGAATTTCAATAAGAGAGAGAAATGATAAAAATAATTGTCTAATTGAGATTCTGATATAATGATATACATAAAAATAAATAAAATAACTTATGCCTTGTTATATAACATAACGTTAATATTATATTTTTCATCATGTGTTGAGATGGTTGCACATGATTGCTAAATTTGAACGTGTAGACGTTGCAATTGTATAGTTTGTCGGTGCTGAGTGTATTGGTTTTAGCTATTACTCTGCTTTGTTTTGTTTTCAGTTTTCACTACTTGTTTTTTTTTATTTATTTTTTATTTTTTGAGATATTGCAATCGATTTATCACTTCGCAACTAGTTCAATTTGAAGCACATCCCGAAATTAAGATTTTAAACTCCTCCCAAAAATGACACTGGATTACTTGTTAATCTTGTTACGACGGAAATGGAACATTATGTATTGTTACTGTTGTAAATAATAATTATTTAGTTATTATTTAGTCCTTTATTTGTTGTATTGGGCCAAGCCCATTAGGTTAAAATTAGGTCAAATATTCTCTATAAATAGAGAACCATTTGTACAGATTATTTGCAATTCTATAATATATTAGAATACCCTTTTTCAAGTTGGTATCAGAGCTCTCGATCTGAGGGCTTTGCTTCCGCACATATTATCTTCTTTTTTGACAAAACCTTAATTTCTTTGCTTCTTGCCGCCATCGGAAAAATTTTCCGGGGACCTTTTGGACCAAGGGGACCATTGTTGACCTTATTTTTCCTCCAATCTATCATTCTACGCACTGTTCCTCCGCCACAAACGACCGAAACACCTCCGACCGCCTCCAATCAGATCTGTCTTCACCGTTTGGACCACTTTTCGGCGACTTTTCAACCGCGACCACCCACAGATAGGTGCGCGCTCACCGGACAACCACACCAGAAAAATCTTAGCCGGCGAAGCCCATCCACGCGCTCTCACGCGCCTCCCCTTTCCCGGCGAGTGAATCCCACGCGCAGCTCCTTTCTCCGGCGCGTGGAGGCGCGTGCGGCCGTGTTTTTGGACCGGACCACCACCATTCTTCTCGTCTTCTTGTCTTCTGTCTGGATCTGTAATTATTTTTCTGATCAGAGGTCATTTGATATTCTGTTTGTTTGATTTTATCGCTGGTTGTTAACTTTTTTTTGTTAAAGAATGGCCGAGCATGATAGTTCTTCGATCTTATCTGGTAAAAGCACACGTTCTATATCTCTTCTTGCTTCTTGCACTGATTTTAAAACCTCATGGATTTTGGATTCTGGTGCAACTGATCATATGGCTTGTCGTACTGAGTTGTTTTGTTCTTATCATCCTACTATTGGTAATCATACTATATCCGTAGCTGATGGATCCCATAAATCAGTTATTGGTTCTGGTAACATTCAAATTCAACCTTCCTTGTTTCTTAAAAATGTTCTTTATGTTCCTCAGCTTTCTACTAATCTTATCTCCACTCAAAAACTTACAACTGATTTGAATTGTTCTATCACATTTTTTCCTTCTCATTGTCTTATTCAGGATCTTACCACGAAGAAGACAATTGGAGTTGCTAATGAACAGGATGGGTTGTATCATCTCCTTCCAGACCATGCTAGCAAAAATCAGTTATTAATGACACGTCATCCTTCTACTGCAGAGTCTATGATTTGGCTCCATCACAAGCGTCTCGGGCATCCACCATTTAGTCTTTTGAAGTCTATGTTCCCCTCTCTGTTTCTCAATAAGTCGGTTGAGACCTTTCATTGTGATGTTTGTGAATTTGCAAAACACCATCGAGTGTCATTTCCTTCTAGCACTATTAAAAGCAGGGAACCTTTTTCTCTTATCCATTCTGATGTTTGGGGCCCTTCTAAAGTGCACAGTGTTTCAGGTGCAAGGCGGTTTGTTTCTTTTATTGACGATTGTACTCGGATAACATGGATATACTTGATGAAAGACAAGTCTGAAGTACCAGAGATATTTATTCGGTTTCATCACATGGTTGAGACTCAGTTTGGTAAGGGTATTAAAAGACTCAGATCTGATAATGGTACTGAGTACGTCAATCGACGCCTGTCACAATTCATTTCAGACAGAGGTATGATTCATGAGCTCACATGTGTTGATACCCCTCAACAAAACGGGGTTGCTGAAAGGAAAAATCGTCATCTTCTTGAAGTTGCTAGAGCACTACTTTTTCAGACATCTGTTCCTAGTTCTTATTGGGGAGAAGCAGTATTAGCTGCAACTTTTTTGATCAACCGCTTACCTTCACGGGTCCTTAACAATATCAGTCCTATTCATTCCATGACTTCCTTCTTTCCTTCTGTTCCCATATTGCAGAGCCTTCCACCAAGAGTGTTTGGATGTGTTGCCTTTGTCCATGTTCATAAACAACATCGGAGTAAGTTGGATCCTAGGACTCTTAAGTGTGTCTTCCTTGGTTATAACGCTTATAAAAAAGGGTACAAGTGTTATCATCCACCAAGTCGGAAATTTTTTGTTTCTATGGATGTCACCTTTCAAGAATCTGAATCTTATTTCCTGGGTCCTCATCGTCAGGGGGAGAATAGTTCTTCAGAAGACTCGTCCCCTTCCTTCTTTGAGTCTGGATCAATCTTCTCTCTTCCTAGTGTGTCTGCTCCTGGTGTGTCAGAACCTTCAAATACACCTGAGATACAACCCATACTGTCTCACCAGCAACCTCAATCGTCTGAACCACTGGTAAGTCCTGAATCTCCTATTTCTTCCGAGTCTCCTGAATCTCCTGTTTCTGATTCTAATATTATTTCCTCTCATGATTTGTCTATTTCTTCTGATATCTCTAATGACTTACCAATTGCTTCTACTTCTGATGACTTACCTATTTCTCTTAGAAAAGGAAAAAGATCTTGTCACAAGAAAACTTGTTCCTCCTGTCCCTCTTGTACTCAATACCCTATCTCCCACTTTGTTTCCTCTGCTAATCTTTCTGTGCAGCACAAAAGCTTTGTTTCAGCACTAGATTCTATTACAATCCCAAAATCAGTACATGAAGCCTTGAAAGATAGGAATTGGGCTCAAGCCATGCAAGAGGAGATGGATGCTTTGGAGAAAAATAAAACATGGGAGGTTATTGATAGACCCAACGGAAAGAAAGCAGTAGGGTGCAGATGGGTTTATGCCCTGAAATATAATTCTGATGGCACTCTTGAGAGATATAAGGCTCGATTAGTGGCCAAAGGTTACACTCAAACCTATGGCATTGATTATGAAGAAACCTTTGCTCCAGTTGCAAAGATGAATACAGTGAGAATCTTGTTATCCCTTGCTGCCCATTACAATTGGGATATAAATCAATTTGATGTGAAAAATGCTTTCCTCAATGGTGAGTTAGAAGAAGAAGTCTACATGGAAATCCCGCCTGGTTTTGATGTTGTGAAGGGGGGAAATAAAGTTTGTAGATTAAAAAAGGCCTTGTATGGATTGAAGCAGTCACCTCGTGCTTGGTTTGGAAGATTTACTAAGGTTATGATGACCTTAGGATACAGACAGAGCCAAGGAGATCACACTCTTTTCTTCAAGCACTCCCAAAATGGGAAGCTTACTGTGCTCCTTGTATATGTTGATGATATTATTATCACAGGTGATGATTTTTTGGAGAGACAGATTCTGCAAACACGGCTTGCCTCTGAGTTTGAAATCAAAGACCTTGGGAAACTGAGATATTTCCTAGGGATAGAAGTAGCTCATTCAAGCAAAGGAATTTTTATCAGCCAGAGGAAATATGTTCTTGATCTTCTCAAAGAAGCAGGAAAGCTCGGGTGTAAACCCTCTAATACTCCTATTGAGCAGAATCACAAGATGGGCTATGAAGAAGAGAGTCCTCCAGTTGATAAAGGACAATATCAACGGCTAGTTGGGAAATTGATATATCTGGCCCATACTAGACCAGACATAGCTTATGCTGTTAGTGTTGTCAGTCAGTTTATGCATGATCCAAAGGAAAAACACATGCAGGCAGTAGAGAGAATTCTTCAGTATCTTAAAGGTACTCCTGGTAAAGGATTGTTATTCCGACGTGATGGCAATCTATCTTTAGAAGTCTACACAGATTCTGATTATGCTGGATCCGTGACTGACCGTCGTTCTACCACTGGTTATTGCATGTTAGTTGCGGTAACTTGGTGACATGGAGAAGTAAGAAACAAGATGTGGTTTCCAGATCAAGTGCAGAAGCTGAATTTCGAGCTATGGCTCAAGGCATTTGTGAGTTACTGTGGCTGAAAATTGTACTTGATGATCTCAAAATAAAATGTGAGGGACCTATGAAGCTGCTATGTGATAATAAGTCCGCTATTTGTATAGCTCATAATCCAGTTCAACATGATCGGACTAAACATATTGAGGTCGACCGCCATTTCATCAAAGAGAAACTTGATAGCGGGTTGATTACCACTCCATACATTCCCACTGGGCGTCAATTAGCTGATCTATTAACAAAGGGGCTTCCTTCAGACAGATTTCAAGAACTTACTAGCAAGCTGGGAATGATAAATATCTATTCCTCAGCTTGAGGGGGAGTGTTGTAAATAATATTGATTATTTAGTTTTTATTTAGTCATTTATTGTTGTATTGGGTCAAGCCCTTTGTTGTATTGGGCCAAGCCCATTAGGTTAAAAGTAGGTCAAATATTCTCTATAAATAGAGAACCCTTTGTACAAATTATTTACAATTCTATAATATATTAGAATATCCTTCAAGTGTTACTAAGAAATTTCCAATTCAATTATTCAACATGAAGTGTGCAAGTGACTTTGGGCAATCTTGCATCTGCAAATCTGGCTTTTTCAATATAATAAAATGCGAGTTTATTAAGATAATAAATTTTAAGTTACATGATAGACTAACTTGCAATTCTTTGTCCATTAGAATTTTTGTTAGACAATTTAATGGGACCTCTTTTGTTTCTCGTATCCTACTTTATCCGTTTTCATTTTTACAGTAAGTCTCAACTCGAGACATTCAAGCGTTCCCTAAGACATTCCTGAGTTGGTAAGGAATAAATCATACGAGTCCAAGATTGAGTACAAAACAGGCATATATAATATTGTGTGTAGAGAAAATATTTGTTGCTACAAGTTGGGGAACACGCCTGAGGCATATATCAGCAAACTAATACAAGAATACACATTTCAAGTCCCATGATATAACTTCGCAAATCGACATTAGCATCCAAGCTATCACATGATCAGCTTGAAGCGTCGAACAGTATTTAACACCTAGTGGATTGCATTATTAATTTATTATACATTAGCCACCGTATAATTGTTTACAGAGTACATGTTTTATTATTCAATCCCAACTCCCAAGCAAAGTCCTATACGTAATTTTTTCATTTACCAATCTCATTTTGGATCCTAATGACATCAAGCAGTGATTTCCCTTGTAACTCACGTGAAAGGAATGCTTTATAGTAATCTGCTACACCAATGCTTTTGAACAATGCAGGTCTTTCAGGAGAGACAAGGCTTGGTATTGGACCAATAACTTTACTCATTTGAGGCCTATGAAATGTGGCAATGGAAATCCTCTCTTTCTTTGAGTTAATTGTTGCTCGATGTTCAATGCTCCGGTAAATCCCATTGGTCAGTATCTGCCAAATCATTTAAGGTAACAAAAATTGTTAAAAATCAAAATACTTAGAAAATAATTTTCTTTTTAAATATTTTTTTTATCAGTTTTTGGTAAGGCTATGACTCAGGCTCAAGTATTTTAGTGATTGAGTCAGTGTGCATTCTAATTTTTATTCTTACTCATAAAAGACACTTGAATGTAAAATAATAAAAGGATTTTGTGAATGATTTTCAGCCAATTACCTCTGAAATGTCTCCAACATTGATGACAAAAGCATTAGGGAGGGGTTTAACAGGAATCCACTTTCCATCTTTTCTTATTTCGAGGCCTTCTACTTCATTGGCTTGGAGAAGAATAGTAAGGGCACCAGCATCAGAATGAGGATTCAGTCCAATGACATTTTCTGGTTGGGGGCATGGAGGGTAGTAATTCCACCTCATTGCTTGACTTAAATCATCAAATAACTCTAGCACTTCCTTAGGTTCGATCTTAAGAGCTATTGCCATATGCTCAATGATTGTAAGGCAAAGTTTTTTCACTTGTAAACAATAGTCCTCTAAGGTATCTCTGCAATGAAACAATGCTTTTTAATTAGAGTTACCTATATACATAATCACTCAATTGTTGTAGTTATGGCCTGCAAACAAACATTGAGTGAGAAACAACCTCAATGGTTGGGGAAAACAAGGAAATAAGCGAGGATTCCTTGCGGATAATGGAAGAGTGGTCATGTAGAATATATCTGCCCATTCTAGCTTTTGATCCTCAGATACAACAAACAACTGACCAAACCCCTCTACATTTTCTGGGGTTTGCCAAAATTTCTTCTTCTCTTCCGTTGGAAGACTTAAGAACTCTTGGATACGTAACTTTATGTTTTCCACCAATGAAGGGTTGAATCCATGATTAATCAGCTGTAATTAATTTCCCCATTAGAAAACTCATAAAACTAATAAGAATAAATTCATATCCTTCTTAAACTATTTCTACTATTAGTCTTGAGTGGCATATTCATGAAACATGATGTGTGTAAAATTAACCAAAATCTTGGTAAAATGAGTATTAATTGCATATGAAAGTACAGATTTTCCTTTACGCATGTTTATTTTTTTTTATTTTATTTTTACCCTTGGTGTTATTAATTAGGAACACAATACTACAAGCACATAAAGAACTTTATCTATTATTTACCCAGAAAAAAAAAAGAACTTTATCTACGTTTTTCATTTTCTAAAATTTGAAGCTATAATGAACTATATGAAAGCATTTAACTAATTCACCTCGTTTAGCTATTAGTCAAAATAATGAGATGGCATGATTTAAAATCTTGAACGATTGCAGAGATTTTGATAATCATGTAACCATAATTGAGATTGCCACATATAATATAATGTAATCTTACTTGTCAAATTATTTGATTGAAATTTACTTTGTGTTGTAAATAATATTGATTATTTAGTTTTTATTTAGTCATTTATTGTTGTATTGAGCCAAGCCCTTTGTTGTATTGGGCAAAGCCCATTAGGTTAAAAGTAGGTCAAATATTCTCTATAAATAGAGAACCCTTTGTACACATTATTTACAATTCTATAATATATTAGAATACCCTTTTTCAAGTTGGTATCAGAGCTCTCGATCTGAGGGCTTTGCTTCCGCACATATTATCTTCTTTTTTAACAAAACCCTAATTTCTTTGCCTCTTGCCGCCATCAGCCGCCACCAGAAAATTTTTCCGGGGACCTTTTGGACCAAGGGGACCATTGTTGACCTTATTTTTCCTCCGATCTATCATTCTACGCATTGTTCCTCCGCCACAAACGACCGAAACACCTCCGACCGCCTCCAATCAGATCTGTCTTCACTGTTTGGACCACTTTCCGGCGACTTTTCAACCGTGACCACCCACATACAGGTGCGCGCTCACTGGACGACCACACCAGAAAAATCTCAGCCGGCGAAGCCCATCCACGCGCTCTCACGCGCCGCCCCTTTCCCGGCGAGTGAATCCCACGCGCAGCTCCTTTCTCCGGCGCGTGGAGGCGCGTACGACCGTGTTTTTGGACCGGACCACCACCATTCTTCTCGTCTTCTTGTCTTCTGTCTGGATCTGTAATTATTTTTCTGATCAGAGGTCATTTGATATTTTGTTTGGTTGATTTTATCGCTGGTTGTTAACTTTTTTTATTAAAGAATGGCCGAGCATGATAGTTCTTCGATCTTATCTGGTAAGAGCACACGTTCTATATCTCTTCTTGCTTCTTGCACTGATTTTAAAACCTCATGGATTTTGGATTCTGGTGCAACTGATCATATGGCTTGTCGTACTGAGTTGTTTTGTTCTTATCATCCTACTGTTGGTAGTCATACTATATCCGTAGCTGATGGATCCCATAAATCAGTTATTGGTTCTGGTAACATTCAAATTCAACCTTCCTTGTTTCTTAAAAATGTTCTTTATGTTCCTCAGCTTTCTACTAATCTTATCTCCACTCAAAAACTTACAACTGATTTGAATTGTTCTATCACATTTTTTCCTTCTCATTGTCTTATTCAGGATCTTACCACGAAGAAGACAATTGGAGTTGCTAATGAACAGGATGGGTTGTATCATCTCCTTCCAGACCATGCTAGCAAAAATCAGTTATTAATGACACGTCATCCTTCTACTGCAGAGTCTATGATTTGGCTCCATCACAAGCGTCTCGGACATCCACCATTTAGTCTTTTGAAGTCTATGTTCCCCTCTCTGTTTCTCAATAAGTCGGTTGAGACCTTTCATTGTGATGTTTGTGAATTTGCAAAACACCATCAAGTGTCATTTCCTTCTAGAACTATTAAAAGCAGGGAACCTTTTTCTCTTATCCATTCTGATGTTTGGGGCCCTTCTAAAGTGCACAGTGTTTCAGGTGCAAGGCGGTTTGTTTCTTTTATTGACGATTGTACTCGGATAACATGGATATAGTTGATGAAAGACAAGTCTGAAGTACCAGAGATATTTATTCGGTTTCATCACATGGTTGAGACTCAGTTTGGTAAGGGTATTAAAAGACTCAGATCTGATAATGGTACTGAGTACGTCAATCGACGCCTGTCACAATTCATTTCAGACAGAGGTATGATTCATGAGCTCACATGTGTTGATACCCCTCAACAAAACGGGGTTGCTGAAAGGAAAAATCGTCATCTTCTTGAAGTTGCTAGAGCACTACTTTTTCAGACATCTGTTCCTAGTTCTTATTGGGGAGAAGCAGTATTAGCTGCAACTTTTTTGATCAACCGCTTACCTTCACGGGTCCTTAACAATATCAGTCCTATTCATTCCATGACTTCCTTCTTTCCTTCTGTTCCCATATTGCAGAGCCTTCCACCAAGAGTGTTTGGATGTGTTGCCTTTGTCCATGTTCATAAACAACATCGGAGTAAGTTGGATCCTAGGACTCTTAAGTGTGTCTTCCTTGGTTATAACGCTTATAAAAAAGGGTACAAGTGTTATCATCCACCAAGTCGGAAATTTTTTGTTTCTATGGATGTCACCTTTCAAGAATCTGAATCTTATTTCCTGGGTCCTCATCGTCAGGGGGAGAATAGTTCTTCAGAAGACTCGTCCCCTTCCTTCTTTGAGTCTGGATCAATCTTCTCTCTTCCTAGTGTGTCTGCTCCTGGTGTGTCAGAACCTTCAAATACACCTGAGATACAACCCATATTGTCTCACCAGCAACCTCAATCGTCTGAACCACTGGTAAGTCCTGAATCTCCTATTTCTTCCGAGTCTCCTGAATCTCCTGTTTCTGATTCTAATATTATTTCCTCTCATGATTTGTCTATTTCTTCTGATATCTCTAATGACTTACCCATTGCTTCTACTTTTGATGACTTACCTATTGCTCTTAGAAAAGGAAAAAGATCTTGTCACAAGAAAACTTGTTCCTCATGTCCCTCTTGTACTCAATACCCTATCTCCCACTTTGTTTCCTATGCTAATCTTTCTGTGCAGCACAAAAGCTTTGTTTCAGCACTAGATTCTATTACAATCCCAAAATCAGTACATGAAGCCTTGAAAGATAGGAATTGGGCTCAAGCCATGCAAGAGGAGATGGATGCTTTGGAGAAAAATAAAACATGGGAGGTTATTGATAGACCCAACGGAAAGAAAGCAGTAGGGTGCAGATGGGTTTATGCCCTGAAATATAATTCTGATGGCACTCTTGAGAGATATAAGGCTCGATTAGTGGCCAAAGGTTACACTCAAACCTATGGCATTGATTATGAAGAAACCTTTGCTCCAGTTGCAAAGATGAATACAGTGAGAATCTTGTTATCCCTTGCTGCCCATTACAATTGGGATATAAATCAATTTGATGTGAAAAATGCTTTCCTCAATGGTGAGTTAGAAGAAGAAGTCTACATGGAAATCCCGCCTGGTTTTGATGTTGTGAAGGGGGGAAATAAAGTTTGTAGATTAAAAAAGGCCTTGTATGGATTGAAGCAGTCACCTCGTGCTTGGTTTGGAAGATTTACTAAGGTTATGATGACCTTAGGATACAGACAGAGCCAAGGAGATCACACTCTTTTCTTCAAGCACTCCCAAAATGGGAAGCTTACTGTGCTCCTTGTATATGTTGATGATATTATTATCACAGGTGATGATTTTTTGGAGAGACAGATTCTGCAAACACGGCTTGCCTCTGAGTTTGAAATCAAAGACCTTGGGAAACTGAGATATTTCCTAGGGATAGAAGTAGCTCATTCAAGCAAAGGAATTTTTATCAGCCAGAGGAAATATGTTCTTGATCTTCTCAAAGAAGCAGGAAAGCTCGGGTGTAAACCCTCTAATACTCCTATTGAGCAGAATCACAAGATGGGCTATGAAGAAGAGAGTCCTCCAGTTGATAAAGGACAATATCAACGGCTAGTTAGGAAATTGATATATCTGGCCCATACTAGACCAGACCTAGCTTATGCTGTTAGTGTTGTCAGTCAGTTTATGCATGATCCAAAGGAAAAACACATGCAGGCAGTAGAGAGAATTCTTCAGTATCTTAAAGGTACTCCTGGTAAAGGATTGTTATTCCGACGTGATGGCAATCTATCTTTAGAAGTCTACACAGATGCTGATTATGCTGGATCCGTGACTGACCGTCGTTCTACCACTGGTTATTGCATGTTTCTTTGCGGTAACTTGGTGACATGGAGAAGTAAGAAACAAGATGTGGTTTCCAGATCAAGTGCAGAAGCTGAATTTCGAGCTATGGCTCAAGGCATTTGTGAGTTACTGTGGCTGAAAATTGTACTTGATGATCTCAAAATAAAATGTGAGGGACCTATGAAGATGCTATGTGATAATAAGTCCGCTATTTGTATAGCTCATAATCCAGTTCAACATGATCGGACTAAACATATTGAGGTCGACCGCCATTTCATCAAAGAGAAACTTGATAGCGGGTTGATTACCACTCCATACATTCCCACTGGGCGTCAATTAGCTGATCTATTAACAAAGAGGCTTCCTTCAGACAGATTTCAAGAACTTACTAGCAAGCTGGGAATGATAAATATCTATTCCTCAGCTTGAGGGGGAGTGTTGTAAATAATATTGATTATTTAGTTTTTATTTAGTCATTTATTATTGTATTGGGTCAAGCCCTTTGTTGTATTGGGCCAAGCCCATTAGGTTAAAAGTAGGTCAAATATTCTCTATAAATAGAGAACCATTTGTACACATTATTTGCAATTCTATAATATATTAGAATACCCTTTTTCAAGTCTTTGGCTTTCATTTTAAAGATGTGAACTCTATGTACCCAAAAAAAAAAAAAAGATAGTGAAAAATATAATAAAGAGGAGTAATAAATCAAACCTGGAAGAATCCCCATTCCTTACATGCATGGTCTAGCTTCTCTAGCTCAGTTGCATCTTGAGACAATAATTTAGTGAGGTCTATGACTGGGACTAGTGGTAAAGAGGTTGTGTTAGATACAACAGGAGGTTCTTGATTTGGACGAACATATTGCTCTGGAACTTTGGTGATGGGTTGCTTTACAAGTTCCTGGACAGAAGGCACCAATAGAGAGGTTCCAACATTGGACATTTCTTTAACCGATGGGACCCAACCCTTGGCCTATAGAGCTAAATGACAATGAAGAGGGTCCTGTGATGTTCAATAAACTAAATTAATCCCTGCCTATTACATGAAATGGCAAAATAAAATAAAAATTTATTATTGTGATAAAAGAATTTAATTTAATGTATTATTATTGTAAAATAATTTCACACTTCTATGACCATGTTAATAGTTTTATGAGACGCCAAACTCATTAATTAAGAAATCGACACATAATTGAATAACAAAATTTTTTTTTATTTAGACAATAATGTGTCAAAATTAAACTCATAATAAAACTAAATATTGCTCATATTTTCCTTGAAGAAAATGTTTTAAAAAACATTTGGAGAAGAAAATAAGACTATCAATGATTTGAAATTCAAGTTTTAAAATTGAAAATAAATAAGACACGTAATTTATATACATATTAAAGGAAAATAGGCAATACAATTAGTATGTTTGCTATGTGTTATGAGAGTATAAATTTGATTACAAATTATTTTTCTGGCACATATTTAATTTCAGTACCATATATTATGTTTAAATTAGATTAGTAAATTAAGAGCATAAGAATTCCTAGGCCGACACATAGATTTGTTAGCACCACCAAGGCTCACCAAGTCTAGCAAGCTTGACTATTCAAGGAAATATTTTCATAACTCTATAACCAAAACCAACAAAATATGGCTACTCAAATTTGGACAGAAATTTCCCTATTTGAACTTCCCAAAACCAATACAACATCCATTGAGATTTGACCAACAACGACTCAGGGAACCATCAAACCCAGACATGTGTTAATATTATATATATGTAGGTCATAAAATGTCTCTCAAAATTTTAAGATCCCAACAAATCTCGTATAGCTGCAGAACCAAAGACCACATAAAGTGATAGAAATAAAAGAATTGCAAATAATTCAAATTCATATATATCACGATTAATGGTAGTAGTTACTTATAATTTGTTAGAAAGCTAAAATAGATTTCACTTAAACACACTTGCCGATCGAGTAATTCTTGTATATGCATAACATTAAATCTCTAGAATAGAATGGAAACAACTAAGGCATGGAAACTCTTGTATAATCATCAACAGCAGAAAAACAGATAGTAAGGGTAAAAGTTACGTAGTTCTTACCTTCTCTGCTAAAGCTTAAGATAGCTTCAACGAGGATTTAAGATAGCACTCTGTAAGAGGGAGTGAAACGCTTGAATGAATGAAGAGTGTTAAACTATGGATTGACAATGCTACAAAAGGGAAAGGGACTATAAATAAAAGGAGGTTGTTGGTCAAAGAAGAAGAAAGAAAGGAAAAGTTTCCACAAAGTCTGCGTTAGGTACAAATTTGCGCACCTGCGCTCCACTTACCAATTAAAATAAGTAACCATTCGTTACTTTAAAACTTTTATTAATTAAGAGAGAATGAATGGGACTATCCAGTTACGTTAAATTAATAGTTAGATTATTTATAATTTTATTAAATTTTTAAATTGTTTTATAATTTAAACTTTTTTAATTGTATTCTATATACATTTATGAAAAAACTATTCCTGTCTTTATAAAAATTATGTAACATGAAAATTCTGGGGGGAAAGATGCTATTCTATGACATATAAGGGCATATAATACACCGTATACTTTTTTTTTTGGAGACTAATACCGTATACTTTACAACTCTATTTAAGTAGGTGCATGTAATTATCAGCTTTGAAGTTTCCACATTAATTGATATATAGCAAAAACTAGATTTACGGCACTAGATTGACGAAGCAATTTTTCTTGATCGTTGCTATTATTTATTTTATGTGATCTTCTGGTGTTGTGTGATGCCGTGATTCTGCCCCTATTGACTTTCCGCATTGTATAAATTCAGAACAAGTCTTCTGAATGACGTTTCTTTACTTCTTTTGTTAATAAAAAAGTAACATCTTCTGCTTTTAAGGTTGCCGCTACCAATAAAAAAATCGCTCATATAAAAGTAATTCCAGGTTAATTTCAAAGAGTTAACTTGTGATTTGAAACGTAAATCGATCTATTATAATATAATAAAATAGTTTTCATTCCTAGAGTGAGTTAATATCTTATTATACACCTTTCAAAAAAATATATCTTATTATACCTTTTTAAATATATATTGACTTCATCATAATCTATGTTTTTTTTATTGTGTTTTGAAAGATTCAAATTATTATTAATTACTTCAAATTTTTTATATTAAATATCTTCCCTGTTATTGACTGACAACTCGATTATTCACAGCTCAACAAAGATTCACCTAACCAGTCATACCTCTATGAGGATTCGATTAGCTTAGTAACCCATCTTTTTTCTTATTAATTTTGGACCCAATTTGAATAGTGAGCAAAGAAATACACCCCGATTCTTGCGTTATCACCTCACAAGAATTAACTCTTCTATTATAATATGGGAAATGGAGGAGTTATCTAACAGGAATGAAAAAAAAAAAAAAAATTCCTGCACTCACAACTTTCATGATAACATGTCTCTTTTTCTTTTTCTTTTTTAATTCGTGGGTCGACTCACTGAAAGTTGTATTTACAGAAAAATAATTTTAATTCCTGTTACATAACTCTTATGAGGGATATCCTCTTGATTATTCTTATTCTGTTAATTCACTAAATTTTCTCAATTTGAATAAACTGAGAATACTTGAGATGAATGTGTTACAAATCATAAATAATGAAAACAATTAATTAAGAAACTAAATAGTTAGCAATTAATTGACAAGAATTATCAAAAATAAAAGTGGTTACGATTTTATTTTCTCAATCTTCCTTTGTTATGACTTAATTTCTGTTGGGTTTAATATGCTCTTTTCACATAAGCCCAATAGTTTTAGTGAAAGTGAGCCCAAAAGACTAATTTCAACCCATGAAGCTTAGGGTTAGTCTTGGATTGGGCAAAGTATATAAACTTTTTTTTCTCTCTAGTGCCTCCAAGGGTTACAGACATCAGAAACACAAAGAGGCAGACGTTCATCATCTGAACGGTTGCCCGCACGACCACCTGATCCCCCTTGAGTCATAGCATGGAAGATCAACCGTAGAGCGGAATTGCGACCGTTCGTGGTGCGTTGCTGCAGATCGTGAGGCTTGAGGAGGAGAACAGAACGTGAGAAATTGTCACGCCCGCTGCTTCATCTCAGGTAATCAAAGCGGTGTTCTTCATTCCTCATCACATCGGTACGATGCGCTTCCGCGTTTTTGATGATATACCTTCAATTGGTATCAGAGCCGGATTGTGATGGGGATTTAGATCAGCTTTGATTTATTGATTTATTTTTGTGATTTTGAAAATATGGCACCTTTATTCTGTATATGTTGTTGATACTCATGTTTTAATTCTTTATAGTTCATTTTCATAAAAGATTAGATTTTAATCGGTAAAAATGCTTTAATCCATGGTTAGGGTCTCTCGTGTATTTCTCGATTTGTAACAAGGAGGCTAATCCCATATGATTAGGTTTCCTCCTTGCTGTTTTTTTTTTAATTTTTCGGAATTTTTGTGTATTTTTCAATATTTTGTAAAAATTCAAGATCGAGAAATCGCGAGGAAAATGCGCAGTCAGCACTGTCGGAGACTTTTCGAGGACTTCCAGATCTCATAACGGGGCGATCTATATATGGTTGGAAAGAGGACGGTGGGTGGATCGCCGCCATCGGAGACTCCACGCTCCGCCATGCGCCTCCACAAGAGGCTGAGAGTGGCCGCCACTCTCCGACAAAGAATGGGAGAGTGAGGGAGTGTCCGGCCACCTTTTTGGGTGGTTCCGGCGGCGGTGCACTCGTCTCTATGTGGTGGTCCTTCCCCTGGAGTTTCGGCCTGATTTGACTTCGGGTGAGGCGCGGCAGACCTGACGGCTAGGGTTCCTCTTTCGCGTCCTAGGGTTTCTCGCCAAAGGATTGGGTCTTTGGGCTCATGAAACCCTAAAGGGCTTGAGACAGATACTATGGGCTAAGCGAAAGTCGAATTCCAAAGTTGTATTATTTTATTTTATTTTATTTTATTTTATTTTCTTTAAAATAGGAAGGCCATGGATTAAAGTAATTATGATTTATTATTTAATGCTTTTATTGAATGATATGAATTATATGTGCAATTAACATGATATTTGCGATAACATGTCATATAGGATAGGAAGGTGCCATATTGCTGTATGATCACATGTCATACGTGCACATTTAATATTATGTCATTACCGACTAGTATGATAGTTTATGCGCGTAGTTTTTGATTTTAAATATTCCGGTAAAATAAAATTATGATTATTATGATTTTGGAAACAAAATCTAGATTAATGGTTATATTAATTTCGAAAATTAATTTAATTATTATGATTTTGGTAAAATCTAGAATAATCAAATTGATTAATTTTGGAGTTTAAAATCAAGACAATTAGTAAGAAAATTTCCTAAGAGAATTCTTTTATTTTGCGAGTAATTTGTGGGTCTACTAAAATGGTCATGTGTTAAACACACGCTGCATACCACAATCATGTATCATGATTGCGTGAACCACACGCTGTCTATCATGACCGGATTTTAGGAACTTAATAATTTCAAAATTCAGATAAGCTAAGTGATGCACGTTCATCGGCGCTCTTGCTTACATAGTTTTTGAAATCAAACAAAGGATACTCTCAATTAAATAATTCTTAGAAATTGGAAAATATTGCTTATGTTGAATGGAAGGAGATTTAAATTAAGAAATTAATTTAACCTTCAAGCGCATTATAAGGACCATTAATAAAATAATCATGTGAAGTCTCATCGAATAAGCATGATTGGATTTTATTAGATTGGACCTAAATAATTATGGGAGGAGATTTAAATTAAGAAATTAATTTAACCTCCAGGCGCATTGTGGGCCTATCAATAAAAGAATCATGTGAGGCCCCAACGGCATGATTGGATTTTATTGGGCCTTAATAATTTCAAAATTTTAATAAAGTATTGTACGACCCATCGTCGATAATACTAAGTTATTAAAGATAATTTTGAAATTAAACAATGAATTCGACAGGGCTTATGAAAATTCTCAAACAAAAATGTTGAATGGGTGAAGGTTTTAAAAATTAATTAATTTTAAAACCTGCGGGCTCCATTTGTGGGTTTATTAGTGAAATGGTTATCGCTGAAGCCCCATCAGATAAGGATAATCAGATTTCACTAGATTAAATCTTAATAATTTCAAAATTTTAGTAAAGTATTGTACGACCCATCAATGGCAATGCTTAGACACTAAGGATAATTTTGAAATTAAACAATGGTTAACTACATTCAACTTTGGTAAAATTGTTAACCCTCACATCGAGGCTCTGGCAATGGCATTGAAGGCCCAAATAACAATTTTGGTTTTTACAAGTGACTTGCCCATCATAAGCCTTGTAAAGATAAACTGAAGGATTGTTAACAATAAACAAGAGTAGTTATGAGAATCTACTTGCACTTCCTTTGTTTATTGCATTATTTGTTTGTAATTGTGTGCTTTACATGTTTTTCAGAAAATATCTTACAAATGATTTTGAGTCGAAAACCTCTAGATGGTACCAACTATGAATAAGTGAAAAGCAAATTTTTGATATTGTTCTAAAACATGGAAACTAAAATTTGTCCTGACAATGCGAGGGCCATAGCAACTTGCAGAGGATGCGTCTAAGGAAACTAAGATGCATTTCTCAGATTGGGAAAGGGCAGATATGGTAGTTCGCTGCTATGTTATTGTCAGTCTTTCTAAATACTTGCAGAAGCAAGTGTACATGATTAAGAGTGGAGTAGAAATGCTTCAGACTCTTAATGACATGTTTGCTGCGTCTAGCAGTTCTGCTAGACAGAATGCAGTCGGTGCAGTTTTTGCTAAGAGTCTTGTTAAATCCAAGGGAAAACCCAAGGGAGGTAACAAGAACAAAATAACTTGGTTATCAGTTGTCAAACTAGTTGCTATGAAGAAGCCGCAAGACAAGTTCTTCAAGTGCAGGCTGAAGGGACACTGAAAGAAAATTTGCCCAGAGGTGATGAAAAGAACCAGACATGGGTATATTAAGGCCTGATCAGTGAATGAATCATTGATTCAGGAATCACTGATTATGTTTGTTACTCTTAGCAGTAGTTCAAACATGGTATGCCTGTCAACAGTGGACAAAGATATTTTAAGCTTGAAAATGGGAACTTGTGTCTGCATTTGCAGTAAGACAAGTTATTTAATGACTATGGTTTTGGGTGAC